CGCCAACCTGTTCGCATGTTAATATTCGAACTTATGAATACAGTCGTATGATGCAATGTAAGCTGATTATCACTCGCACGCTCATATTTGAACTAAGTTAAAAAGCCGGGACCGACCTCGCACTATCATAAATCGTAAATCGATTTACACACAAATCTGACTCGAATAAACAAAGCCCTAGAATGGGTACATTTCATTAATTCGTGAAAGACGCTCAAGTACATAAACCCCGCAACGCGGGTACAAACATGCAAACTAAGATAAAACCCCGTAGCACGGGTACAAAGAAACAAACTAAAAACATAAGGGTCATGCCTCGGGATCCTTGATATCCCCATCCTCTAATCCAGCCCGGCCTTCATCATCTTGATCCGACTTATGGTCTTCATCGCCGCCTTCTTCATTATCGGTTTTTGCCCGGTCCTCTTCTCTTGTCTCCCCGATAACATCAAGAACAACACCAGGACTCACATCCTTTTGGGTGGTCGCCTCGACGAGCGTCAGACTCGAGTTAAACTCATGCTGAACGCCTTCCAAATCGGGTACGTCTTTAAACTGTTAGATATCCTCCGGATTTAGCCTTCCTCAGTTCGATCCATGGTCATCTCCAAGAAGAACCACCGAGGGATGATCTCTTGGAAAAGCCAGCGCCTCATCGGGCACGTCAAAATCCTCATCGAGAAGCTCTATCTCGTCGTAGAGCTCGGCCTCGTCACTCAGCCTTTTCAGCTCGGCTTCAATCTTCTCAGTCACCGATGGCGGACATTTAAAACCGTTCCGCTCAAAAACCTTGATAGCATCGAGTTGTCCTTCCAGCTGAGCACGGGAAGTCACGTTCATGTCTATCTCCTCTCGTTGAGCTATATATGCCTGTGTCTTCCTGATAAGCTTGATATAATAGGAAGACACCGATGCTCGAACATAAGACGCCCAGTCATCCCGGGTTTTAACGAGAAGCTCCCTTTCAGCCTCAAACTTCCTCAAGACCAAAGCCAAATCGGCAGTAAGGGACTGGATGCTTTCATCCTTAGACCTCAGAAGAATGTCGCAAGTGTCGACCTCGGCCTTCATCGCGGTTAGCTCTCCTTCCTTAGCCTTCACAGTGGCCTCTAGCTTCTTCTCATTTTCAAGGCTCTTCTTCAGAGCACGGTCATACGTCTCGACCGCCGTAGTAGAGAGATTCTTGGCCTGAAACAGAACGGGATCAACTATCAGCATAAGATAAAAACTACAGGAAGCCCCTATATGAAGAACGGGAAAACTTACCCTGGTTTGTGCTGAAGCCAGTCAAACGTAGTCATCCTTGTAAAAGAGCTCGTCCATCTTAGAGGATGGGAGGGGCATACCCTTCATTTCCCACGCAAGGTGGACACTAGACATATCATCCATATGGATTAGCTCCTTGCCCCGGTACTCAAAGTTAAAGGCATACTTGCTCGGGCAAGAATTAGCCTTGTGCCTCTTTGCAGTTGGTTCAATGTCGGGCTCCTTAGCGACCGGTTCGGGGAGCACGGTATCCTTGTTCACTACCCTAGTCTTGGGATCCTCAACATCAGTCGGATTAACATCCGGGCTGACCTTAGCGCGGGATTTCCCTTCGACACGGGCTCCATCCTTGGCAACCTTTGCCTTTTTTTCTCGGCTCTCTTCCGTTTCAAAGTCGTCTTGACAGTGGCCGCATCTTGAACGTCCCTCGGCATGAGGAATGGGATCGACACCACTTTGAACCTCATCTCCTGAGTCTGGGACACCTCCTGGAGGAGTATTTGCCCGGGTCGAGTTGACCGTGGGATTGTTCGCATCCGAGACAAGGGTTTCACCCGACCTCTGCTCAATATCCCTTCCACTCGCAGCCAGCAAAGACTCCTCGAGTTCTTCGGCGAAGTCCCTCGTCTTCCTTGGCTTAATCGGCATTTTTTTCTTTGACTTTCGACGAAGATGACCTGACATAGCGGAGTCGTTAGCCCGGGAACATCTCTTAAGAACGGGACGCAATATGATTGAATTACCTGTTGCTCTTGAAACTCTTTCGATGGTAAACTGCGGCCAAGTCTCGTGGCTTAATCTCTGAAAGGCGTTCCTGTGCTCGAAGAAACCTTTTGTAGGAGGCTTGATCGGGGTTGCTGGCGTCGCTGTGAAACAAAAACTAAAGTCAGCACGTGATTAAGTAAACACACTCTACAGCTAAAGATCGGCTAGCTACCGATCACATCGGCCCATCTAGTTAAGATCGGGACGTCCGTATCAACTACAGTGTTCTCGTCGATCTTCACGAATAAATAACAGTCTCGCCTGTTGTCAACCTTCTTCGACAATTTCTTGGTGACTATGTTCAGCTTCCTCTTCATGCTAACATAGAACGAACCCCAGTTCTGAGTATTCCCCCCTTGAGGCTTGATATCGGTCATCTCCTCGAAGATGTTAGTGGAAAATGGCAGCCCGTGCTCCTGAGCGAGGACCGTCAAGCTGACCACATGACGAATGCAGGCATGCATGGTCTGTGAAATCGGCATTGCCCTTCTCGCACAGTACTCCAGAAGAACCCGAGGCAGTGGAAACCAAAGATGGGCATAGAAGAAGAAATGTTCGAACAGACAGATGTAGCCCGGTGGTGCATCCCAAGGCCTTTGCTCGGGGCTCGGGACCACAAATTTAATCTCAGGCCCGATCCTACACACTTCCTTCAGCAAGTTCAGCGATTTCCACGTAGTACGGGATGGAATTACGCCAAAAGTGTTGTCCGACCTTGGAGCATTCTTTTTGGATAGCCTCAAGTACTTGAACGAAGCTGGAGTGTATTTATCAAGGATCTCATTCTCCCACGATTCCTCTGAATCCCCGAGGCTAACAGGCTCGTCTTTTATCTCGGCCTCGTCTTGTTCAGCCAAAGCGTTGGCGCTCCCGATCTCATCGCCATCACCCCAATCCGACACGTTGACGGCACTCCCGGCCTCGTCTGATTCATCCCTCAGCTCGGGTACCTTGATTGGAACCCGTACTATCGATGGCCCGGCATCGCCCCAAGCCACAAAACCTAACTGCCCCTCCTCGAAGCGCCTCGCCGCGTGCTCCTGCTGGCCTCTCTTCATCTCGACATAATTTATTCCCATCGCACGCACAAACATTCTGCCGGACTTATCTGATCCTGAGCTAACACTGCCTGCCGACTCGACCGGCGAGGAGACTACTTTCTTTCCTTTTGACGACTTGCGAGGACCCATCTCTGCCAATTATACGGATCCCGACCTAAATCTGACTGGTAGCACGGTCTTCTACTGGCTGTACGGTCTTCTACAGACGCCCCGATCTATCCTAGGATTATCGGACCTACAGAACAAAAATTCTAGAGAGAGAAAGAAGAGAGAAGGGAGAGCGAACCTGATTCGGAGATTTTCGCGAGAAGAAGAAGTGAAGAAATGAAGACCCTCACCCCCTTTTTATACGAAATCGAAAACAGTTTTTGAGAAACCGGTAATCATTGTGACGGTTCGTATTTCCCGTGCTTAAATATATTCTAAAAGTTGACACGTGTCACGTCCCAGAAGACGAAGAGACTATTCCGGCTCGAGAAAGGCGGCTTGTGAACCCGACCTATAATAAGGCCCGACCTATTATACGCGATCCACAGCCCGACCTATAATAAGGCCTGGCCTATTATACGCAATTCGTAACCCGGCCTGTAATGAGGCTCGATCTAATACACGCGGTCCCATCCTATCTCACACGGTTCAAGTCCCGATCTTGAATCGTACAAATCAGGAGTTCGTATGGATTGACGTAGCTTTCGGGCACCACGTGCTTCGAAATGCCCTGATCTCAATTTATACCGAGCTACCTTTTCTTATGTTCTCCTAACCTGTTACTCAGATCGTCGAACTGGGGGGGGGGGGGGGGGGGGGGGGAGGGTAGGTGGGGGGGGGGGACTAATTGTTAGTGATGGGTTTAGCACCCCCTGCTAAAAGTCCTTCATAAATTGAGATAAGGCCCATTTGAAACCCTACCTCCGCCTCTGGATTTAGATCGACGCTGAAATATGGAAATATCCGAAGATATATTCGAATCGCAGAAGAAAGGAAAGAGAACCCCGAGAAGAAAGGAAACTATCTTTATCCCGAAGGAGAAGGATTCGATTCAATGCGGTCTACGAAGGCTATATAAGAAGAGTCCCATCCCTCGAAGATGATTCATTCACAATTTCGGACTTGAGACCTAGGGCAAACCATAGCTTATTGCTTTCAGCTTTAGATCTCGGTTCTTACTCTCAAATTTTAGGTCGGTGTTCTTTTCCGACGACCTAAAACCCTTGTACACTTCGAGCTCCGGCTAATCAATAAAATAGCTTTATCTTTTCTCTCACAAATCTTTATATTTTCTTTAGAGGAGATATCCAGATCTTCCAGAAACTCACAGTGGTGGAGAGTTTATCGAAATTCGTTGAAGATTGAACTTTTCAGTTGTAAGCGACAGAGCACAAAAGTCAAAACTCCTATGTGCGAAATTAAAACCGGTGACTAACCGAAAGCTGAGTGTTCCGACGACCCGACTTGGAAAGGTTTAACGCACGTAAACCCTAAACCGGGTACTCCGGTTTGAGCTTAAATCCAAAGGACCAGATCTATTCGGTTTGCTGCAATCAAGACTTGGAAAACCTGATCACATCTAAACCGATCGAATTTTGTTCTCATTTTATACTTTCAAACTTCCCCCACTTTGAGAACGGATTTAAGTCAACTCTGTCTTCACCAATTGTCGACATAATTTATTTGGTTGTTCGTAAAGTTAATACAGTAAGTCAGGGAGATTCGAATGAGTTTTCTATGGATATTGTGGAACATTTGGAATTTTGAAAACACACAGAAACAAGTTCTTCTTCAAAAAGAAAAACGGTATTTGGCAAATGAGACTTTGGACAAGGTACAAGAAACATGAACTTTGTGGAACATTTGGAAAACATAGATGAAGCTGCAGAAGAAGCAGAGCGCTTTAGATAAGTTTTATGTCTAACATTCAGGAGTAAATTCGTATTTGCATTCTCTCAACCATGCTTGTCACAAGAACATTCACCGAAGTATCTCTTAAGACGCAGAGCTCATTGCACACAAACATAAAAGATGAATATATGCAAAAGCTTTAAGCAGCCCAGACACGTACCAAAACTCATAATTCGGGAATCAAGTCAATTTGTACCTTATATATATCTCCTCATATCAAGGTCTCAAAGAACAGATTTGTAAGGCTTAATTAAAACATTTGTGTGTCTATCTGGCTTGGCCATTTGCCATGTCAGGTGGCCAAGTGGTTGTTTCCATGCTTGCTTAACAGATCGCTTCATCTTCAGCTAATCTCCATTCAAAAATAGACAGATCGCTACAAGGTCAAGCACAGTGTGGGAGAGTGTAACGCTATACCTGCAACCAAATTATATTTATGTTAAGCATAGTTATTGTAGAACGGAAAATAAAGAAAGAGCACCAACAAAGGTATAAGACAAGTCCTTGGAGATAGATTTCGGCATGAAAACATGGTAATAGACTTATTAAAACTGCGTTTTGCACTTAACAATTTAACTTCTCGTCACCTAGCAAAGATACCAACCTAACTGTGGCAAATCAAAGAGACTTTCAGCTGTCTCTCTCTCTCTCACTTAAAATGATACAGTAGGCTAAGTTCCTCACCTTTTCACTTCTGGATGACTCAGTGCAACAGTTTCCTTCCGGGAATCAAAACGGCTCTGACTCAGCTTGTGTTTTCTTCTTTTACTACACTTTTAAGTTTCTCCTCGTTGCTCCGTGGATTTTTCCTTTTTGCTTGAATATGATGCACAAACGCAGCTACTATGACATGCAGCTTTGGGGGAGGTTTGCTTGTCGAAGAGACGTTGTGACCTGCATCTTTTAAAGCTTTAGCAACGCTCCTTTGTGCTTTCTGGAAATGCGAATTACACAGTGCAGGAACAGTCGATGCAAGTGTAGGTTTCCCACATATCAATGGCCCTGCTGGAGCTCTGAATGTACACAACACAAACAACGCAGAGTTAGTAGAGAACTGCTACAATAATCATCATTTTGTAATTACGAATCAGCATACAAAATCTCCTAAACATGAAATCTGATAATGACAGTGTATCAATCTAAATCCTGGTTAATGTTCTATTACTATCACAGTTGGGATTACTATCTAGGTGTCGAAAGCTAGAAACTTTTTCTCTAAATCCCAAATCCCTTCAGCAAAATCGGGCAAAAACAGTTTCTTGGCTCAATTCATCATCACTCCCAACATTTTAACCCGACTCTAATATGTAAAGAACATAGCTTGAAGGTGAGATAGAAACTAAACCTTTTGATGACGTTTGTGCAAGCCGTGTAGAGCTTCTGCTTGCTATCCTTGAGAATATGCAGCTGACAGTATTTCGTAAGTGCCATGGCTTTGGCTTTGCATCCATACATACAGCTCCCACAGTTGCTATTCGCATACTGATCAACCTTAACGCCATCATTGTTGTTACTACCGTTGTCTCCACTGCCTTCAACAGCATCGCCGTCTCCGGTATCTCCCTCCGTACCCAGCCTCCGTCTCTTGTTCGGTTGATTCTGTTCGTCTTTGAACGGACTAACGCCGTATCTCCAGTAGTATTCTCTGTGCTGCGCCTTGAGATCCTCCATTAGAGCCCAGTAGTGGTCCCTGTAGCATTTGGCGAGCTTCTTAAGGTTGTGCGATCGGCGTCGGAGGAGCTCCGGGCGGGTGAGGTGACTGGAGCTTGCGAGGATTTGATCCTCCAGTGACATGGCAATCTGCGAATTTGACGTCGATGGTAAGGCGTTTGAGTTAGGGTTAGGGTTAGGGATTCGAATTTGGGGTTCTGATGAGGTGGAGGCGACGGAGGTAATAGAGGCGGCGCCGGAAGACGGAGGCCTTGGAGGTTTGAAAGAGAAAGGGTTTTGCGGTGGGTTCTTTGAAGCTGACGCCATTGTTGTCGTCGCTGGGAAAATGACAGAGAAGTCAAAAATGAAAATTTACTTGCGAAATTGAAACTTTTTTTCTATTTTGTCAGTTATTAAAAATTATAAATCTTTCAATTCTTGATTAGCCTAAGCGAAAACGAAATCTAATGAAGCCCATCAAAATGAGAAAATAAAAAGCCCATTAGAAGTTTATGGGCCTAAACAAATGATTTTGAGTCTCTCTGACCTAGGTATAAAAAATAACTCACATCTGATACTGATAACGCACCAACGCTTCACCATTCTCTTGAGATTGCTGCTCGACTTCTCAAACTCTAGGGTTTCAGTGATCGGCAGATTTACAAATCTACAACATGGCGACTCAGATCAGCAAGAAGAGAAAGGTGATTTGTAATGTCTTATTTTCTTTCGAAATGGATCTATTTCGCTGCATCGTAGTTTTGAACCGTTTCCGTAACTGTGTTGGGTTTTGTAGTTTGTATCTGACGGTGTGTTCTACGCCGAATTGAACGAGGTTTTGACCCGGGAGCTTGCAGAGGATGGCTACTCCGGTGTGGAGGTTAGGGTTACTCCGATGAGGACTGAGATCATCATCAGAGCCACCCGAACCCAGAACGTTCTCGGTATGTTGGATCGATTCTTCCTTTGGAACAACACGAAATGAAGAGACTTGTGTGTATAGTAGATTTCGGAGAACGGTTACTAAGTTTGTAGTTATTGGGGTGTTTAGGTGAGAAGGGAAGGAGAATCAGAGAGTTGACATCTCTTGTGCAGAAGAGATTCAGGTTCCCTGCAGACAGTGTTGAGCTTTACGCTGAGAAGGTCAACAACAGAGGTCTCTGCGCCATTGCTCAGGCTGAGTCTCTCCGTTACAAGCTTCTCGGTGGACTCGCTGTTCGTAGGTACTGCGATATTGCTTTGTTGGATTTGATTCACCATTTGATTACGGCTCTCATTAGCATTCACCAAACCTGATAGTTATATGTATAGGATATCATCGTGAATGTCTAGTTATATTAGGCATCTAGTACTTTCCTTCATAGAGATTTGGCATTTTCTGTATTTTTTGTGTGTATCATGTCTATCAACACGCTGATTTTGTTGCCAAACTGCGTTTTTCAATAACAATCATCCCAAGATGTTAAATTTGAAATGGTCTTGTGTTGTACAGGGCATGCTATGGTGTCTTGAGATTTGTCATGGAGAGTGGAGCTAAGGGATGTGAGGTGAGAACTAATATCAGTATTTTCACTACAATATTTATCTCAGACGTTGTCGTCATCTTAATTAACTAAAACGCATGATTTCAGGTGATTGTGAGTGGAAAACTCCGTGCAGCAAGAGCAAAGTCAATGAAGTTCAAGGATGGTTACATGGTTTCATCTGGTCAACCCACAAAAGAGTACATCGACTCTGCAGTGAGACACGTCTTGCTTAGACAGGTTTGTTTCTTCTTCTTCTTCTTCTGCTGAGTGATTAAGTAAACCAACAATGCCTGTCTCAGAGACCACGTTAAACCGTAACGTGCAGGGTGTGCTCGGAATCAAGGTGAAGGTCATGCTTGACTGGGACCCGGCGGGCAAACTAGGACCGAAGACGCCATTGCCTGATGTTGTGATCATCCATTCTCCCAAGGAAGACGAGAAGAACCCCGCTCCTGCTCAGGTCGCTGCTCCGGTTCCTATTTTGCCGGAAGCGCCTATCACGGCCTCAGATTACCCGGAGATGATCCCTGTCGCCTAGAAGAAAAACCCTTTTACTACACCAAAGGATGCTTCTTTTTTTGTTATACCTTTTCTGTGTCTCTGGATAATACTATCACTAGCTGTGTTTTTCATATCCTCGAAGCAGACAAGTTGTTTTCTCATGTTGTTTCTGAACTTATGTCAAGTTTTTCCGAGGTTTAGCTCGTTTAGTCCAATGAAATTTTTGATCTTAATACCTAGAAGAATGACTAGTACATCATAACTTCTAACATTTTGGATTATACCGATAAATCGAACTTGCTTATGGATAAAGCTTTCATATAAGTGTAACTACGTTCGGATTAATAATGTCATTTAGGTCTGTGATGGTGGTTACAGTAAATGGGCAGAAGTTTGGGAATTTGGTGCAATACAAAGCTTTAAATGAAGTCTTATCTCGACATGTTGTGCTGTGTGACAGTAATCTCCGGACAGAAAAACTTAACCAGAAATGTCATATTTGGGATGAACGGTGCATCAAGTAGTCTCCCCACCTGCGTATTCTTTAGCTTATAACTCATTGCATTTAGCTTTGTTACGTGATCATCATCACTCTTCTACTCCTTTAGATCAGCCTCCATAAAGAAGTGTCATAGATGTAGAAGAAGCACTTTTGTACATAAAATCATTTAAAGAGAGAAAAAATGTATTAAATAATTAGACACCGTCACTAAGATGAGACACAGACAAATCTGGAAAGAAAAAGAGAATGTAATTTATATGTCTTTACAAAAAAAGTCACTATGATCTGTATAGTTACTACTCACTAATTAGTATCTGTACAGAAGAATGGATTGTGACAAAATTAACAACACATTGCTCTCATTGTAAGGAGCTACAACATCAGAAAGGGATGATCGTTACTATTTTTCAATCCAGTCTATTAGATCAGAACGAGGAACACAGAATTTTAACTGTTGTTCTTCTGCTTCTGTGTCATTAACAACACCTCGACACCCTGGGAAGCCACATGAACATGAAAGACGCTCATCGGTTGAAAAGAACCTGTAAATTAGATAGACAGAGTTCAGAAAAAATGATTATAAAATCTCTCACACAGATGATTCAAAGGGCATGAAAGCGGAACCTATAGTCATAAGTCAGCTCCTCCCATTTAGCGACATCCCTCTTTGCAAAGATGATAATGTGTTCATCTCCATTAACACTGATGACTCTCGAATAGCAATTTGGCTGCATGAAAGTAAGAAATATACATGATTAATTTTTGCAGATGCCAACTAAACCGAATACAAGCAAATTAAGATTGATGGGGCTTAGACATACCACACAGGAGTGATTGATCAGGTGAGCAATGCTTCCTGCCCTTGTAGCATCTATGACTCGCTCATTATCAATTCTAAACATATAAGTCCCCGCACCCTATTATCACATAAGAAACACACAACTTTCTCAGATATCAATTAATTAGTCGGTATCCTGATTTATACTTTTAAGGGAATGCTATGAAAGAGTAGTCTTAGAATAAAAAGAAAAAGGATGGTTAGTAAAATACATAAAAAGTACGACTTAGATGAATGAAGCTACAAATAATCTGCTGATTTATAGAATTTTCTATATATGTAGCACATAAATGTACAGAGTTAGTCAGAACTGCGTACCACCATTGAATTGTAGATACGATGTTCTCTTTTGTCAGCTATGGAAGGTCTAACAAGTTCTCCAGTGTATTCAATCACCTGCAACGGAATCATCCAATATTCTCATGAGTGACACAAACTCTTTCCTAAGATGAAGTTTTCAGTTCAAGTTAAGTATGCTCACCATATCTCCGGCCTTGTGCGGAAGCTTTGCAAATATGCCAAAACCATGAATTCCTGATTTCCCTGGAAAAGAAAGAATGAGCTATTAGAAATAAAAAAGATGGTTCTGTAAGATTTGCTGATAATTCAAGAAGAATGAATGATTACCAAATGCTAATCTCTTCTTGTATGTTTCCTTCATGTATCTATATTTCTCAGCCATAGAAAGGATGCTGGTTGGAGTGTTCATCTGTGACACCTTTGATCCGTCAATGCCTTCATAGGTTGAAAGCCCATTTCGAGAGTAACCACCGATAACATATGGCTGATTCTCAACAAATAACCGCTTCGTAGAAGCAGCCGCAAGAGCTTCAGGTTCCTTCCGCCCTCTTCTTCCAAGACAATTATAAGGCTCTGTATGAAAGAACGTGAAAAATGAATGAGATCAAAACTCTGTATCTAATATAAATAAAGGTTTGTATAGACAATAGGAAACTACTGTTCCAAGAGGATCTGTAAGAACATGAAAGATTAACAGAAAAACACACATGGTCATATGCGAGCTAAGAAAACAATGAGAAAAGAATCTAACGTTTAATCCCAGTAGCCAAAGATCAAAGCAGTAGCTACATACCAGTACGAGCACAACCAGATGGATTAGGTGGTGGGAGATACTCAGAAGTTTTATGAGTAGTGGGTTTGATCATTTTATTTGATTCTAGGCAGGCAATTGATGTTTGTCGATGCCTCTTACAGAACGAAAGCATGCGGATACACTGATCTGCTTCTTCATCCTCCGCTGATAGGAGAAAATGTCTATCCTCACTCTCAAGCTACATGGACAGTAAGGAAAGCTATCATCAGTTGAAACATCTCTTGTGGATTAGCTGTGTTTTGAGTACACGTATGTATGTATGAATGCAAAATCTCCTGATTCGCTGTAAGATAGTACCTCAACACAGAGACCAGCAGCTCTCGCGCAGAGTGGATGATATGCCACGCGACAGGAATTGTTTGAACACTGAAAATGTAGTCATTTTAAACATTATATCAACATTGTTGGCCTTTGACAGTAGCAATGGCATGCAGAGTAACCAGAATCCATTATCTAGAACAAAACTCATACACGAGCTAAATGGCAAACATAAATGTAACTTGGCAGTTATCACAATGCAATATTTCAAAAGTAAAGATCTCTGCTGGAAATCTTATAGGTCACAGATTCCAGTCAAATGGATTTATAATATGCGTTATAGCTTTTAAAGAAACAGTAATCAGCTGATATATCTGACAAAGTCACCAATTTCAGAAGCAATACTCCAAACAGTTTACAGGAATGATCAGAAAGCTATGCTGCTATTCTTCTACTGAAAGACAGTAATATTGGCAGCACTTTCATCAGGCAATTTCAACTAAATAATTGTGCTACATGAATAGAGAAGAGTGAAATCTTACTTGGATACAAGCTCCATAAGATACTCCACAGATGGTGCACAGTAATTTCCAGCGATCCTAGTTTTAAGAGTTTGGAAAAAGGAAGAGGGATAAGAGTTTTGAAAACGCCATAGTACCGGGGTAAAGGAACCAGAAAAAAGAAAATGAGTACACACCTTACTGACTTTATTCACCCCATCAATCGGTTCCATCTTTTTGACATCAGATAAACATGTTTCTGGACAAAATAACAAGTGTTAATTTGCAAAAAATGTAAAAGGCCTCCGGTTTCTTCAGTAGAAAGCAGACTAATGAATAACAGCAAATCATTAAGATTGAACCTGGGATCCATATAGCACAAGCTAGATGAGCCCAGCGCCCATCAGTTGTCGGCTTCATAGCACCCCCTAAAAGAAGTTTTAGTTATTCACCAATGAAAGCACATAAAGACTCCACACACACCAACTGATATGGTCAATTACCTACTACAGGACAAAGACAACACCGTGGAGGTATATCAGGAGCACCAGGACGACATAAGATGCATAACCACAAAGCACCATCACAGGGTTCTAGCTCTCCATAGCATCCAGCATGGACCTAGAAGTGGACCAGAACTTTCACCTCAGAGAAAGAAAGAACACAAGGCACCATAGAGTACAGATCTAAGATTATACAAAAACTAACAAATCCCAGAGCATGAGAAATACCATCATTCTACATTTATCACATTGCAGGAACAAATTGTTCTCATACTCCTGCAGACAAAAAAAATATAAATCAGAACCAATCTTATTAAAGCCCAAATAATTGATGTTTCCTATTCATAAACAAAAAAAGCAGCCCCAACCTCATCCATGTGGCAGACATTGCACTTGTCGAGATCTTTCCAGTCAACACGAACAGGTCGATAACCAGTAGGATGATCTTTATGCTTTTTCAAACCATATTTGCACATAGAAACATTGGAGGATAGTCTGGAATTTGATAAACCCTGCTAGGTAATGGTTAATTAACATATTAATTGCAATTCACGAGAAGCTAAACAATAATGCAATGGTATAAAACAGGGAACATGCACCGAAAAGTATGAAGGGAATTAATCATAAAAGTACGCAAAATCTACAACCATATTGATAAGTATCTTTTCTCCTGATACAATACAAAGTGATATCTTCTATGAAATTTCATTTGTTATAAAGGCTTCAGAATCGAACTCACTCTTTAGTTTCGCTAAAAAGAACAAACTTTCTCAATCACTAGACTCCATTCACATATATCATCCTAACAAACTGTCTGTAAATACTTGTGAAGCTGGCTTCAATTAACAGCTGTTAATGAAAGTCTCACAACTGTCCCGCGGAAGAGAAAGCAACCATCATAGTTACAAGAAAAAAGCCACACTCACTAGACAGACATGATTATTCGTAGAGGAAATAAGTGTTGTCCCATTTATGAATGCGTGATTCTAAAATGCTTTCGGACAGGCGGATTAGGGTACCCGCAGATCAATTAGCAAAGAGCTTCAGAGACATCTTTAGTGCACAAGCTTGAACATCAAAGAAGAAAACATGGTTTTGTGCGCTAAACATTCATATCAAACATAACTGAGCCCTGCTTATACTTTTTCGAGACAAAACAAAATTCAGGGCACCACAAAATGTTCAGTGCACGATTCCTGTGAGACCGACATGCATGTGCAAGCAAATTATCATGAAAACACATGCACACAACTACAAATCAATTTAAATGCAACGAAAAGATACCTGTACAAGTTTAATGACTTCCGGGTCGGAGAGTCCAAACATGTCTGCACCAGATCCATTTTGTTCTTCCCCCAAAACATTAGGACCATCAGTCGCACTCTGGACCTTTCTTATCCTGTTATATATTTTATTCCAGCAAGCCGAAGGAGTAGGCCCTTTGAACTGCCAAAAAAAAAATAGGTATTAATGTTAGCCAGAGACACACACTTGACCTGGAAACATAAATAGAACATATAGAAGCACTAAATTACATATGTTCAACTCACCTGCTCTCCACTATCTGCAGTCACTCTAAACAGAGGGCGAGTCTTGGACTCGGGATCTCTTAGCACTTCCATCTTGTAGAAGGCAGATGCAATGTGATCTGCTCAAAAGTTAAAACCAAAAGCAACAACCCGCATCACATTGATGAACTAAATATAATCAATAATAAATGGAAAATAGGAAAAGCCAAAAACTGAATAACAAATAACCTTTTATTGATGTGAACTTTCTCATAGCCGTATACCCTTCAGGCCAAATATGATTATCATCCTTAAAAAACTGAGAGTCTGTCACAATCTTTCCTGTAAGATAAGTCATATGCCTATGCATGATCAGTGGAATTCATTTCTAAAATAATCAACCATAGCACGAAAAATGATACACCATACTTAAAAGGTTCCAAGCCTTACCAAGATTTATTATTCGCAGATCCCCTATTGTATACCGGAAATCTACAACTTCTGAGGGTCTTAACCACACTTCCCCATCATTAAAGTGATCACCACCCGAGTTTGAGCTGCCCTCTTCTGTACAATTGGTCCTTTCGGAATACTCGGAATCAGCTCCCTTTTGAAGTTGACTCATTCTTTCTGGAAGCCTATGTTCCTTCAGATAGCTGGGTGGTGAAAAATAACAATAATTAATTTTAGGACAGGCAACATGTCCAGGTTTCGAAAAACATTTTTTGGGAAAAAAATTATTGCTCTAGTTGTTAATGCAGCAAGTACTCAAGAAAGCAGAATGCCAAAGAAAAGCGAGAGGGACTTACATTTTTGCTTCCTGCATGCCCTCTTCAAACCGAGGTTGTTTGCACTTCAAGTGAGATCGCGAGAGAAGCCCTTTGATAAATGAGATTGCTTGCTTTCCATTTATTCTATGCAACCAAAAGATGTTAACCTCAGCTTGATAATGCAAAACATTCATCTCAGCAACTCAGTAGCAAAGCAAGAGATAGAAATATATAGAAAACACTGACTAACCTAGCAAAATCATGGGTGCCAAAAAATTGTACCAAGACCGATCTTCCTCCAGATACCTTGTTGTTTAGACCTTTCCGCTCTCCGATAACAGATTCGTCCACGACAACTGCTGGCCACATAGCATGACCTGTTCGAAAACGTACGCAAATGCAGTGCTATGGAAGTCAGTAGGGAGTTTTACTAGTATATCTGCTTCCAACAGCATTAACTTGCCAATAGCATAAAGAAGGGTTCTTAATATATGCATAAAAAGCGGAAATCAGTTTAAGTACAAACCAGCTAGTTTCGCCCATATAATGTCTCCAGGCTCAAAATCTTGACATCCCTCCAAAGTAGCTGCCAATACAACCATCTCGTCGTAATCATGGGCACCAACACTCACATCGTTAGTACAAAACTTCAGATCTAACAGCTCCATCTCCTCACGAGAAACGAAAAATTTGATCATTTCACGATTAAGAACCATATGCTCTTCATACCCATCCTCATATTTAACCTAAAGAAGAATTAAACCACAGTTAGAGGAACAAGCTTATAAATATTCCGTAGCTCACAAAATCACCCGAACTCAGAACTCAGTAGAGAAGACAGAACTACTTACAATGTGACGTTTTTTCTCTAAACTGTATTCAACAATAGAACCCGTGTACCACACAGCGTCCAGCGGCCAAAACACCTAGGGATTAAACAACAATCACCTGGTAAGATGTCCCCTTCTCACAAAAAATAGTTTAATATTGATAATTGTCTAGTTTAACACTTGCCTTGCATTGCAGCCCTATGAAACTTTTAGGATCTACATCATCATAACTCAACCTGCCAAGTCAAAACTCTCCCATCATAACAAGGCCCGTTAACAAGGGGAGATACGAGGAAGTGATAGATAAACACTAACCTGACCCATCTCTTAGCTGAAGCAGAAGGCAGAGACACCTTGTCCTGATTCTTGACAGAGCGCATTTTCCTTCGGGATGACCCATTTTGCTTATTCCCACTAAGCGCATCGTTGAGTCTGCAACCCCTCAATCCCGGACCAGTAAAACTCGCTAAACTAATCGAATCCACACCCAATTTCTCCAACTCGCAATTACCAGTCCTCCTTTTCTTCACCTTCTTCTCCTCAAACCAAGCGTCTGCATCATCAAGCTTCAAACTTTCACTGCTCCGAGCTTCCACCGACACCACGGAAGATTCCCGCCGCGGCGGCCTCTTACGGCGGCGACAGTAGACGCGAACAATCTCGGGACGGTGATTCCGCAGCTTGTAATCATCTGGGCGACGACAATCGGCGCTGGCGCTCACGCCGCTACCTTCGACCTCGAATTGCTCAATCATCGGAAGCTTCTGGGCCTTGACCTTCTTGGACATGAGACTGTGGGAACCGACGGCACTAATACAGCACAATGGCGACGAGGGAACGGAGTACACGCCGCTACCTTCCACGAGGTCGTGGGCGTCGATTTCGATCTGGGTTTCACTCGAAACACACGCCATGGAGATTAATCGGAGGGAGAAAGAACAAGCGCTTCGAAAGGAGACACCTTGCTCTCGCTCTCTATCACTGTAGCCCCAAAAAAAAATTGCTAGCAGAAATTAGGGTTCAGAAATCGAAATCGGGGGAAAGGAGTAACAAAAACAGATTCTTTTCTTTTGGAGGGAGAAGAAAAGGGGGTTTTCCGTTTCCCGCCGTGTTATTAAGATGACAGCTCTTTTTCAGATCTATTTGCTCAGTCACTTATATATCTTCGCATGTATACATATACACACACACATGGTGTATGTATCTGTGTAGCACTCAAATCATTAGTTTTTTTTTTTTAATTTACATTAGGACAATAAAAAGAGGGGAAAAAACGAAAATTGACATGTAATCAAGGATTTGATGATTCTTGAGGTTATTGTTGTTATTACTACTACTTGACTACTTGAAAACCGTGACAATTTGCCTAAATATTTGGAAGCCGGAGTTTTAGAAAAAAACAGGTTTTGGTTCTTTTCTAATGACCAAACTGAATAATTACAGTAGTTTTGTTCCTAATATTTGCGATATCTCCATCTCCTTCGCTAGCTATATAAAAGTCTCAAATCGCTCTTCACAGACTTTCTTTAAATACTATTTCATTTGTACTACAAATATCTTTAAGATGTTTTATAATTTTATCTCTGTCACATGACATTTATAATTTTTTGTCATACATACTGGTATATAGTATAGTTGTCTCTTTGGTTACACCAATTGTCTGATGTCATCTACCATTAGAAGAATGGAATTACACTTTCATCAACACATAACAACAACACAATTAGTTGGAGAAGACCCGGTTTGAGTTAAACCGGCAGAAAAGAGGACCCGGGTCAATCAAAAAGGGTGGTTAGTTAAACAACCCTAGGGATTTAAATACTCTATTTCCTCCAGCTCTATTTGTCCCCCTCTCGACTCTCGCCAACTATCATCTTCTTCTCCCTTCTTCTCCGCCATTTCTGTCGCTCTTAAAACCCTTTGATGTTCTACTGAATCTCTCTTCCTACTCAATTCAGCTCTATCTAGGGCTTTCCCACCGAAAATTCTAATCGAATCCATCACTGCCACCTCTCTTTAAGTCTACTCTCTGTCTACTGTCTCGATTTCCAAACTCCCACCTGAAGATGGATCTGCCTAGCCTCGCTTTGATCCTCCGAGACGCCGCGCTCAGCCCTAATCCCGATGAACGCAAAGCTTCTGAGCTGAAACTCAATCAGGTTTCTCAGTTTTTGATACTTTTTTGCGATTATATACGATTACTAGTTTTTGATACTCTTTGCGATTTTGATTAGTCCCAGATGTAGGCAGGAGATTTCTTTTTCTCGATTGTAGTATCTTGTTTTTTTTTTTTCACTTTTTAGTTTGGCGCTCTAGTTTTTCGTGAGATGAGTTCGTGTAAAGATAAACCTTAGAAAGTTAACTTTCTGGATTTATTTAATCAATTCCCCAATCTTACGCTGTTGGCGAATAAGTGTTTAACCCGAGATTGTTCAAAGATGTTCAATTTGATAACAGATCGCGTTTCTTTAATCCCCTATTGTTTGATTTCAATGGTGTTGCAGTTGGGATTTACTATTTAAAATCAGTTCTTGATGTCCTTTTTTCTCGTTGTTCTTTGTCATGCAGTTGCAGCACACGCCCCAGCATTTGGTGAGGTTATTGCAGATAGCCGTGGATGGAGGTTGCGACATGGCAGTGCGTCAAATCGCTAGCATTCAGTTCAAAAACTTCATTGCTAAGAACTGGTCTACTGAAGATCCTGGTAATAATTAGCAAATTTAAATTTTGCTCCGTTTTGGTTTTTGGAAGCTCTTTGGTTAACTTTCAAATCTGATGTTGCATGTTGCAGGAGAGCAGCAGAGGATATTGCAAAGCGACAAGGAATTGGTGAGGGACAACATCCTCGTCTATGTCACCCAAGTTCCAACCTTGCTCAGGTAAATTTGCAAGATAGCTTTTGGACTTATCACTCAAGTCATTATGGTTTTTTCATTAACTTTCATTTGTCTGCTTGAGGTCTGATTGTAAGTGTTTTTTTTTGAAAAGATGACATATAATGTATGGCTAATCACGTCCATCATCAGGCTCATATATGTATCATTCATCTTTGTATGTGTCTGGTTGCTAGATATCAGGAAACAGTGGATGGTTGGATTTCAGAAATTACCATTTTTTTTTTATATAAGCCTCGGCAACAGCCATAATTTTGTTTTTTTGCTCAACGTGAATCATAGCTTAGTTTATTTCCCTAATTTCCTGATCCAGATCCCAACTTGGAGAGTGCCTCAAGACAATTATATTTGCTGACTACCCAGAACAATGGCCACGTCTTCTGGATTGGGTGAAGTACAACTTGCAAAATCAACAAATTTATGGAGCTTTGTTTGTGTTGCGGATACTCTCTAGGAAATATGAGTAAGTTCATTCCTTCTCATGCCTATGTGTAGGATTTTAAGGTTTCTTGGTGAAAGTATTGATATGATTTTTTAAACATCTTCATGACTGTCTGCGGTTAGGTGGCAGTAGCACAAATTTGTTTCAGTGTTTCACACTGAGTAAAAAATTTAGGTGGTAACCACTTGAGTAGAACAAATTACGGGATGAGACCATCTGTATTGGAAAACGAGTCTTAAGATGAATGTTAAAACTTGTATTATTCGAATACGATGCTGTTCATGGCTATTTCAAACAGTATTCATAATGCCTTATGACGTTTGGACGAGTTCCAGCTAGGAACGTAATGTGTGCACTACATGTAAAGAAGCAGCAAATCTAGATGACAGTCCCATTGATTCTGTTTCATAATTTTGCTTTCTAGGTTCAAGTCAGACGAGGAGAGGGCACCAGTTTCCCGCATTGTGGAGGAGACATTTCCTCTACTCTTGACCATTTTTAATGGGCTCATTCAGATAGCAAATCCCTCTCTGGAGATAGCAGAATTTATGAAGCTGATTTGCAAAATATTTTGGTCATCCATATATGTAAGTCGCTAGAGAGATCAGTTAGTTTTTAATATATCTTTAAAAGCACAATCCAAACTAGTTTTAGTGTTTTGTGTAATATTTATTTATCATAGTGAAAGATGTGGGACAAGGTCTCCTAGTTAAGTGGTTCCAACTCCACCTGTGATCCCTGTCTCTTTCTTTTTGTACCTGCATTGTATGGTTTCTTATCTTATTGGCAGTTGGCAAATTTGTTTCAGTTAAAGTCTTCTTTGATTTAGCGAGACCCTGATAAATAAATTAAAAAAAACTAGCATCATAGGCTCCCCTGAATCCCTCTCCGTTGTTTTCTTTTCACGATGATTTATGGATATCCTGATCTTCATTTTTTGTTGCTTTCCAAAAGTTCACCCCATGATCATTTACATACTTTATTCTGTGGACAGCTGGAGCTCCCAAGGCAATTATTTGATCAAAACGTATTCAATGCCTGGATGGTTCTGTTCTTGAGTGTTTCGGAGCGTCCTGTTCCAGTTGAAGGCCAGCCTATGGATCCGGAACTTAGAAAATCTTGGGGCTGGTGGAAGGTCAAGAAGTGGACAGTGCACATCTTAAACAGGCTCTATAGTCGGTATGTATCTGAAGTTAATATAATAAACAAAAAGTATTCTTGGAAGGTCCATTAATTTTTAGTGAACATTCATTGCGATAGGTTTGGAGACCCAAAACTTCAAAGTCCAGAAAACAAACCTTTCGCCCAAATGTTTCAAAAGAATTATGCAGGCAGGATTTTGGAAGGCCACCTAAATTTTCTGAATACAATTCGCGTTGGAGGCTATGTTCCTGACAGAGTTACCAACCTTCTCCTTCAGTACTTAAGCAACAGGTTTGTGTTACAGTTCCGTGTGTGCTGGTTTCATGTGCATACTTGTATATATTCAGTATGCCCACTTGGCTAACTTAAATTTTTCTTCGTTGCTGTGGCATATATATTTTGTAATCTTACACTATTCTACCTTTTAACATGTATTAAAAATATATAAGTAAAAAGCTACTACTGCATTTGTGTTATGTGGTATTTCTTTGACACTAATTCAATGTATATGCAGCATTACGAAGAATAGCATGTACAATTTGCTGCTGCCTCGGCTGGATGTTTTGCTTTTTGAGATTGTTTTCCCTCTTATGTGCTTTAATGAAACTGATCAAACGCTTTGGGAGGAAGACCCACATGAATATGTGAGGAAAGGTTACAGTAAGTATTAAAAAGTAGTGACGTTAATGAAATTTTTTAAAACATACAGAATAACATTTAATGATATCTGTTGTGCCGCATTGCAGATATCATTGAAGACTTGTACAGTCCGCGAACAGCGGCTATGGATTTTGTAAATGAACTGGTTCGAAAACGTGGGAAAGAGAACCTTCCGAAATTTGTTCAGTTTGTTGTAGGGATCTTCCGGAGGTATTCCATTTAACCTCTTGTGCTTGGAACTTATTCTCCCATCTGTTCTTGTTGAGAACTTGGTTTTCCACTGTATGTAGTTATGAAGAAGCTCCTGCAGAACTTAAGCCTTATCGTCAAAAAGATGGCGCGATGCTTGCTGTTGGAGCTCTTTGTGATAAACTTAAGCAAACGGAGCCCTATAAATCTGAACTTGAGCATATGTTGGTCCAACATATTTTTCCTGAGTTCAATAGTCCAGTTGGACATCTTAGAGCAAAGGTATTCACTGTTTCTGGCTTTAACCTGTGTCATGGATACCTCGACAATCCATCGTTGCCATAATATTCTGTTGTACTTCTCCATTTATCTGTGAACTCTCTTTATCATACCTTGGATAAATTATTTCGGTACTTGGGTGACTGCTGCAATGTTGTCGATATTTTAGAATGGACCTTCTGTTTTATGTCCATGAGGTAAAAAGACCATCCAGATTTCAACCTTAGAACTGATCGTGATTATAGTTACTCGGTTCAACAGTTGGGTTCTTGATCTGTTTAACAGTTGGGTTCTTGTATGTAGGCTGCATGGGTAGCTGGGCAATATGCACATATCAATTTCTCAGATCAGAACAACTTCCGTAAAGCATTGCACAGTGTTGTTTCTGGAATGCGCGATCCTGATCTCCCTGTCCGTGTTGATTCAGTTTTTGCATTACGTTCATTTGTTGAGGCGTGCAAGGGTATGTAATTTTCTCCTACACATTTGTACGCATGAATCTGTTGTGCGTTGTTGTCTTCTTGATTGTATGCTGGATTTATGTGTGTCTAATTAAAACTGTCTGGTCAAACTTGCAGATTTGAATGAGATACGTCCGATCCTCCCTCAGTTACTTGATGGTAGGTTACCTTTGTTTTTAAAAATTAGATGGTCAGTATCATTGGAGTAACTAATGCTTTAACTTTATGGTGATTTTGCTCCCATCAGAATTTTTCAAACTCATGAATGAGGTGGAGAATGAAGACCTTGTTTTTACTTTGGAGACTATCGTAGATAAGTTTGGTGAGGAGATGGCTCCTTATGCTTTTGGACTATGCCAAAATCTGGTAAGCAAATGGGCTTTTCATGTGTCTAGCTTTCTTGAATAATTAAACTTTGGCAAGATATATATATATATATATATATATTTCTGCCTCTCCTTTTGCTCAGGCGGCTGCATTTTGGAGGTGTCTAAACACGTCAGAAGCTAGTGATGATTCGGATGATATGGGAGCTTTAGCTGCAGTCGGTTGTTTGCGTGCCATAAGTACAATCCTTGAATCTGTTAGCAGTCTTCCTCAGCTATTTGTTGAGATAGAACCAACCATACTTCCCATAATGCAGAAAATGTTGACCACTGATGGCCAAGGTAAAGTGATGTATAGTAATACGTCTTGAGTTTTCTCATCTAGCATAATTAAGTTATATTGTGTCCAGATGATGGACTTTTGGACTGATTGTTATTTTCTTGTCAGCCCTTTGTTGTGTAGTAGCATCAGCACTTATTTCCTTTCTAACTGTTTTAACATGGATACTAAAGCATTTATATTCTCATCCTAATTTCTTTGGCAGAGGTATTTGAAGAAGTTTTGGAGATTGCATCATACATGACCTTTTATTCACCCAACATTTCCTTGGACATATGGAGCCTCTGGCCATTAATGGTGGAAGCACTGGTCGATTGGGCAATTGATTTCTTTCCAAGTATGGCTTCTCTTATATCTGTTTTCATTATAGTCTACTCTGTCACCATAGAGTTTCCAGGTTATTTTTTTTTTGTTACATTCACTAAGTTTTTCTTTGGAAATTTAGATATTTTGGTTCCGATGGACAACTTTATATCAAGGGGAACTGCTCATTTTCTCACTTGCAAGCAGCCCGACTATCAGCAAAGTCTATTTAATGTTCTTTCAACTGTAAGCATATCTTCTGATAATTATAATGAAATTATATGGTCTGTGCCTGTTGATTGTTCTGAATTGTTATGGAATACTTGTACATATCAAAAGAATAGAATCTTACTTGATCGTATAACAGAAATTTCGAGTTATGCATGCCTATACTGGTCGAAAGTTGTTGGCCTCGTGTGTAATGGGTAAACACTAAGAATAATATATTGTACATTCAGCAATACATATACATTTCTTGCTACTGTAGTGTAGAGATGTTGTACATATTAAGCATCTCCAAGTTTCTGTAGCCAAGCAAATTATTCATCAGTCTACATAGCAATACCATTTGTTATCTTCATAGCTAATATGTCTCACGTTTCCGTTTCTACAGCTTATGACCGACAGAAACATAGAAGACAGTGATATTGAGTCTGCTCCAAAGCTTATTGAAGTTGTTTTCCAGAATTGCAAAGGGCAGGTGGATCAGTGGGTTGAACCATATCTGCGACTCACAATTGATCGGTTACAACGAGCTGAGTCTTCATACTTAAAATCACTTCTTGTACAAGTGGTAAGAACTGTGTGGAGAATTTAGTTTCTTTAATTAGAGGTGACATGTCACTATATGAATCAGGCATTGAATTGGTTCCATTGTTGTGTGATGTTTATAACGATGGTTGAAATTCTCAACATTTTTTTCGTTGCAAGGGAACCACCATTATATCTGTTACATCTTAAATTTTTCTTTCTTGATCAAGTTCTCATAGACAACTATGACTTCTATTCGCAGGTGGCAAATATGCTTTACTACAATCCAAGTTTGACGCTGAGTGTATTGCATAACACGGGGCTTGCTTCAAAAGTCTTTGATCTTTGGTTCCAAATGTTGCAGCAAAAGAAAAAGGGCGGCCAACCAGCAAACTTCAAAAGGTTTGATGCTTTTTGATATGTCTTATCTTCATGGTATAGCTTATATTTGTAATGGTTGAATTTTCTGTTTTTTCACTTTAATTAGCTGATCAAAAAGTTTGCTCATTTTATACCAGGGAACACGATAAGAAGGTTTGCTGCTTGGGTTTGACTTCATTACTAGCTCTCCCAGGCGGTCAATTCCCCGACGAAGCGCTGCAGCGTGTTTTCAGGGCAACACTTGATCTTCTAGTTGCATATAAGAATCAGATAGCTGGTATGTTGTGCTTATGATCCCTTTCCCCTTTACTTGGCGTGGTATTATTTACAAATTTCTTGCAGAAGCAGCAAAGGAGACGGAAGTAGATTATGAGGATGAGATGAATGGACTCGAGAGTGATGACGACGAGGTTGATGATGGGTCTGATGGGGAGATGGGGATGGATGATACCGAGGATGGAGATGAAGCAGAAAGCATAAAACTGCAGAAGCTAGCTGCACAGGTTTGTCAAGTGTTTGTATCGACTTCCCTTTGACAAAGACGTTTTCTTTGGGGATGGAGTTGACTCTTTACCAATTGGTTTGTCTGCTTCATAGGCAAAGGCCTTCCGCTATGATGATGAAGACGACGACGATTCTGATGATGACTTTAGCGATGACGACGAGTTCCAGTCACCCATCGATGAGGTCGATGCCTTTGTGTACTTTGGCGACGCAATCAGAGGTACCACTATATAACTTTCTCTGATCACCATTCCCTAACACACAATACTGTAGGGAGCTTCTTGCTTAATCGCATCCTTGTCCATTAAACAGTGATGCAGGCATCAGACGCGCAGAGGTTTCAGAACCTTAACCAGTCACTGGACTTTCCGTATCAGGCGATTGCAAACGGAGTATTACAGCACGCAGATGTGAGAAGAGTGGAAATCGAGAAGGAGAAGCTAAAGAAGGCAGCAGAAGCCGCTGCTACCGCTGTTCCTGCTATATAAAACTTTCAGCTTGGATCAAATGCATACTCTGATAAGCACAACAATTCATTTTGGTGAGAATCTTCTCGTTCATACATATTCAGCATTGCAGCTTGCTTCAAGGAAGCAGATTTTTGGATTTTAGCAAAAAAGAAAAAAACCATCATCATCTCCGTAGCCTTGTGAAACCGTGTGGTTGCGGTCAGAAGGTTTAAATGTTTTGGTGAGATTATGGACGGTCTGAAGAAAAGGTGTGATCGCTTCTTCTTCTTCTTCAGTGGTTTTATGTGTTGTGTTGTCTCTTCTTCTGGATTGGTTGTGTTCTTAAAGAACGAAATTCTTTTTTTTGGGGGGGTGGTGGGGGGGTTTGTGTACTCATTTATCATTGCCTTGCTACTGCACACATTGTGTCTTGTCTTTTTGGGATGTGTCTAGTTTTTTTTTGTTAGGAAAGTTATACTGTATTGCATTTTTGTGATCTCACAGAGAGATCAGCAAGGTCAACTCATCAGGTTGTACGACCATTCTTTCATAAAGTGGAAATTTTATCTATATATTCCGAAATAAACGTAAAATATTTCATAACCTTTTTTTGACAATATACTGAGTAGTTCTGACTTAGAAGAACTTGGCCCATAAGATAGTAACTTCGCAAGGATTATATAAATCTTATGATAAGAAAACAAAATTGGAATTTGAAAAGTCTAATCTTATATCAAAAATCCTGTGCCATTGCATCGATTGCCAGATTGCTCACAATGTGGCCGGATTGATCACCAACTCCATACAGTAGCTCCTAAAATCCAACAAGAGAGTGACAATCAAGCAAGAAGCCTTGCTGCATACAGAAGCTTTCTTGTGTTGACGACATTTGAGGCTAGAAAGACTATTATATGTTGAGTTTGTTTTGCAATACGAAAGTGCTTGAAATGTTAAAAACATCTTTCCCTTTTTCTCTATAAGGTTTCTTCTTCGTAAAATTACTCCCAAACTTGAAGAAAGATTACAAATATATGAATCTATATGATCTTTGCTTTTTCTATGGGAGAACATAAAAAAACAAAAGAACAATCGTAAGAAACTTTGTAAGGGAGTAGCAAAAGAAAAATAATTTAGAATAAAAATCAGGTCAGGAGGAAGAACAGCAAGAGAAACCAAAGCCTTGTTTGGAGTCCTTATTGTCGTCCTTAACGAGACTTACTCGGTTCTTGGAGCTTAGCTCGGTTTTATGAGTGTCGGAGTTGAGTTGTTTCCGGCTAACATTGGTGTAGATGTCGCGGATGACCATTTCGAAAGCTGTTTTAACGTTTGTTGAATCGAGAGCCGATGTTTCCATGAAGAAAAGTCCTTCGGTTTCCGCTAGGGCTTTGCCTTCTTCCACGCTCACCGCTCTTATGCTCTCCAAGTCACATTTGTTCCCCACCAGCATCCTCGCCACCGTTGTATCCGAATGTGCTGCCGAAACAAAACAAAACAAAAAAGGGCAAATGAATCAACACAGTTTCTACCAAACCAACATTCAAATCAAAAATTGAACAGATTCATATGAGAATCTTTCTGAATTTACCACAAGAATCCTAAGAATGGAAAGTTTTACTATATATAGCAGTGAGGAAGACTTTCTTGTAGACTACTCTCGGCCTAAGTAACGAAATGTCTATAAAACGACCTTCAGATCTAATTTTAGTCCAAAAAATGGTAAGAATCTTAATCAATCATGAATCAACAGAGCAAAATCTACCAAATCTGTGGAGCAAAGTCCAGAAGAATTCTACCAAATGCAGATTTCAGTCAACAATCCTTACAGTATTCAGATTGAGTACGAGTTTAGCTCAATCGATTGCATTTCAATTCGCCGATGAGTCAAACAAAATCCTCGAAATCGATCTAATCAAAAAAAAATTGAAATGAACCAGAGTGAATCTATAGCTACCGGACTTACTCTTGAGCTCATCGAGCCAACGTCCGACGCTGTCGAAGGTGGAGCGACGGGAAATGTCGTAGACGACGAGGGAACCGACGGCGCCGCGGTAATAAGCGGAGGTGACGGCACGGAAGCGTTCCTGACCGGCAGTATCCCAAATCTGAGCTTTGACCTCTTTGCCTTCGATTTCCATGCTCTGCGTCTGGAACTCGACGCCGATCGTGGCTTTCGAGTGGGCGTTGAACTCGTTCCTGGCGTACCGGGAGAGAAGGTTCGACTTCCCGACGGCCGAGTCGCCGATTATCACTATCTTGAAGAGATACTCCTCTCCTCCTTCGTCATCGGACGACATCTTCGTTTCCGATTTCTAGAGAGAGAAAGCTGCGACTGGTTTTAGAGAGAGACGGTTGGGGAAAAGAAACAAGCTGGCAAAGAAAAGCTAAGGACATACTGCGCATGAAGTGCTTCATAATTGATTTCTCAGTTTTGAAATTTTTAATACTTATTTTTTAGCTAATGTTTTTTAAATTATGTGCCACAAGATTCGGTATAAATTATAATTATATTTTCTTTTAACCCAAAAAGCCCATAATCAATAGCCCATGTCAAGTGGTTGCTGTAAAAACTAAAAATAAGCCCATAAACAGTGGGGTAGATTAATCCGAACAGACTTCACGTTTAATATAACTTTCTTCTTATCAATATAGTTTTTCACTTTTTCGGACCTTCACATAACATGAATTTTTTAAAAAATATACAAACAAAAAAAAAAACTATAAAACCTCTAAAATTAATACTCCTTCTGTTTCAGTATATACGTTGTTTTGTTTTGAAGATTATTTCCAGCCTCCTAAAAACTGGATGAACTGGGGACAAACCAACTTATATAATGAAATAGAAGAGTATTATTTTTTAGAGAATATAGTTTAATTTGTAAACATTTTTTGAAATTCATGTTATGTGAACTGAAGGCCCAAAAAAACTATATAAAGCGGGCGAAGCCAAATGTTTTTATCCATTTAACCAATTGGCTTTGAAGTGGAAAGCTTGTGAATCTTCTTGTGGTATCATAACCCTTTACCAAAACCTTTTTTCAAAAAAAAAAAAAAAAACTATATAAATAAGATATATAAAAAGTTCATTAAGAAAAAACTATATATGGATAGCTTAGATAGAATTTTTTTTTTGTCTAATTATATATGATTGTTCCGCTTAACCATTCAACCTTTATGCCAATGATGTTCATTTTTTTCCAAGAAATCATCTACTTTGAAGTTTGGATCATATAAACGCAAAATATACCAAGAATAAATAGTCCATGCATGTTCTCACATATGTAACTGAAAGAGAATATTCCCTAACGTTGGTCAAAGTTTGACCTAAATTATACATGGATGTTGAAGAACAAGAGGAGACCTGCAGAGTCACCGTATAATATAAGTTCGGTGATAAAATGCGTGTATAAAGGACGTTAAAGTGAAGGAAATTACATATATTAATACGACATCTTCTTAAGGTAAAGTAGGATTGCCTTAAAAAAGTTCTGGGTCGAAGTCTGTATGTTTCCTCGTCGGAGTTTCGTGAGGCATTCCCAAATTAAATCTTTTGTTCATGTAGTTCACACATTACAGTCAATAAATTTAGAGCTAGACTTAATGTGTGTTTGTATATATATCCAACTAGAAAAAAATGCTTTGTTAGTCAATTCTAATTTGCATGAAACATAGAATTAAGTAGAAAAAGGACGATAAAGTGAAATCAATAACAGAAATTAAGCACGTTGTTCACACATAACAACCAACAATTCATAGCTATGTTGTTTCAAATTTTGCCGTGTTTACAAGTTTATTTTATACTATTTACTAGTTTGAAAAGTCAATAACATTTTAATTGAAAAAATGTAAACGCAGATATGAAACACGTAAAATTATCTGCATTTCGCGTTTGCAACTCTGAAAATATTTATTGATGGAATGCAATTTTAATGTCTTTTTATGATGATATACACTACAATTTAGTTACATAATGAATGCAAATAGATATATAACCTACACTTTCTTGTGATCTAAGAAACTTGTTACAACTATCCGCATAATACACTTTGTAAGTTACTTATAGATAAACATATAGCTATTAAACTTCTAGTTTGGATCATTCTAGTCCTAAAAGATATTACAATACAGCATATGATTAGAGACAGAAGAAAGTAGATCCACGACGTTGGTCGAATGCATCATTCGTTCCTTAAAGAACATTATCTTCTCACATTTTCTCTTCAAAAACTCAAAGGCTGAATTTTTATCGTCCTCGTATTCATGAGGATCGGCCGATCTAGAACTTACACTCCGATGGTTAAGAAGATCGATATAAGTCTCGAGATCGTGAACGCAAGAGATGTTTTTAACATCGAAAAAATCTAGCGTCAGTTCGACCCCCACATGAGCATAACATGAACAACTCCATGGAAGCTCATAAACACCACCTAAAACCCTAAAATTCTCGTTGAATAAAATACCGGGAAGTTTAGTGATGGGATCTTTAGCATTGGTGATCCTCAAAACTTTTATCCCAAGCTCCTCGCAACGTTTCTTGAACTCCAAGTTACCAACTCTAGGGCCTGCGAAAGAGAACACGGTAACCGGAATATCTCCATCGCCGATCCGCTGGTTTAAACCGAGTTCGGCAATGTCGTAAGCAAGAAGATGAGCCAATGAGCTTCCCATGCTATGCCCAGCGAGTGTTAGACTCAGCTCTTCTCCCTTGTGCTTCTTTATCAACCTCGATATCTCGGACAGAAGCTGTTGTCTGCAGCTCTTCAGTCCGAATTTACGCTTACTCTCATCGGATGTGTATAAACTCAAGAACCCTGATTCAACCTTCACGTCGAGACGCGGATTATGAGGCTCGAACCTAGCAGGAGCTAAGGAGCTCATGAAATTCGCCAACCATTCAGGGTTAGTTATCGTTCCACGAAACGTCACCACAATGTCTCTCCTCCCTAAACGTTTCACCGAATCATCTGATGAGACTGCAACGTAACCAATCCAACGTGCGCGCCGATTTGCCTCGTTATCTATTGGACTCATGTTGATGTCCGGTGTGGCGTAGATGTACTTGGTGACTTTGTAGTCATCAGGTTGGTCGGTACCGGTTTCTTTAAGTAGGGTTTTTTTCCCGTACTTGCAGTTCAAGTAACGTTTGGAATTAGGGTTTAGATCGAAGGCTTTGTAACAAGTGGAGACTAAGTTGCCGTAGCGAGTGATCTCTTGTTGCAGAAGAGGGTTTACAGGTTCAACGAGATCTTGCCAGTTGTTACATCCTTGTATCTCTCTCCAAACCTGAGATAACGGCACCGTCGCTTCTGCACCGCAACACGCCGTCGGAGAACGAGGAATGGGAGGAGAAGCAACCGGGAAAGTTAGAATCGGCTGTGGTGCAAATATAGAAGAAGAAGAAGTTGATGAAGAAATTACGAGTCTTTTGGAGGTGTTAACGTTGGAGTTGGGGAGAGAAGTAACATGAGGAAGAGATAGATTGTGTCCTGGAGTTTTGTCAGATCTTAGAAATGGAACATGTTTCAGATTAGGGGTTTGGATTAAGGATTTAGCCGCCATTTTCGGAAGAGAGAGAGAGAAGTTGGTGGAAGTGTTAGAGAGAAAAGTACGTGTAGGCGTATATATAGTGATCAATATGAGAGTGTTCCACATGTTTTGGCGTGTATTTGACTGAGAAATGAGGTTAAAATAGTCGAATTACGATCGTTTTTATGACAAATAACAATATTTAATGTGGTCGGTCTTCTATTATTGAATTTTTATAGTTTCGTCTTGTAGTTCTTGGTTCTCCTTAATTAGTTCAGTCTTTTATACGCGTTACCATCTCATGTGTGTAGAACGCAAAATAAAATATTTAAATAGTAATTTAATACCGTTAATCCCAAGTTACCAGCGTCTGGTAAGTATACTATAATACTAATTACAAATTCAGATTAGTTCGAGAGTGCTGATTTGACCATAAAAATAATTTAGTCAACTGATTTAGGGTCGGAACGGAAAAACAATTGATGAAGTATATATAACTTAACGCCTAAGCTTCTTATATTGTCTGCTGTAAATAAAGGGTTGAGTCCTATTTCATGAGTAAGATCTAAAATAAAGAGTAATTTTCGATTTAAAAGTACTAAATACTGTTTGACATCAACAAATGTATAATACTAGTTTAATATGTTTTTTGCTAATAATTTATAGCTTAATATGCTATTGGCATATATAATTGGAATATTATATCCAACCTTGACAAACAGATTTTGTTTTTTTTTTATCAATACACTTTAACAAAATAAGTTTTTTTTAAATATATCACCCAAATATCTCAACTAGTCATTGCAGATACCCCAGTTGTATTCAGATGCACCAAGTATCCTTAACTGTAACACAAATCAGCAACAAGTCAGTAAAAATACCGCAAATCACATGTTTTGTCATAATATGACCATAATCATATATAGTTAGCTAGGAATAAAAACAGGAGGATGTAATAAGTAAAAGCAGTATATTAAGATTGATGGGTTTTCAACTCAAAACTAGTAAGAGTAGCATAGTTTCTATTTTTATACTATATAATTATAAAATCTTATCTCATTTGTGAGACTTTAATACGTCATTCTATCGATGATGGTATTTTTTGCCCCATCTCGAATCAAATCCTATTTTACAATCCCATGTAAGCCATTATATTTACACCAAACTCTCACACTGATACAATATTAAATGTTATGGGCTTTTAATTTTACATTTTTACTCAAACGAGAAACTTTATTTTCGATGTAAGATTCATCCAAAACTGGAGTATACTAACATATGCGAAACTGGAGTAGTAATTACTTTTCTCTCGATAACTAAATAAACTGGAGTAGTAATTACTTTCTCTCGATAACTAAATCAAATTTTAAATGTATATATACGTGCACACACACATTATGAATAAGACACAAATTTTTCTGTTGATTTCAACGGACGTAAGAATTAATATCTTTAGTGTGACCGAGGAAAACAAAACCTAGTATATACTACTCATATCTGAGAAGTCAAAAAGTGTCAAAGAGCTTATAAGTATACGCGCATTTATGTTAGTATGTGTGTATGATCATATTATTATCATACATTATTACATATCGCATGTGGCTTGTCTACCGCAAATATGTTTAAAATACTACTTTCCATTTTTAGAAACTTGTGTACACTAGTGTACTAGTATGTATATTTACACATACTAACATAAATGAAAAACTGCATCATCCAAGAAAACGTGAACGGGCAATTTTTGATGTAAGAAAACTTATAAAAAAAACTCTTTCTATTTTCATTTTACTGCATCATCCAAGAAAACGTGAACACGTTATTTTCATTTTTATGTTCGTGTTTGATCCATCATAATCTAGAGAAATGCTATTACTATATAGTGAATATTTAGAGGAATAAAGAGTAAATTAATATTTTTCTCCAATTTTATTCCTCTAACCTAACAACCATTTGCACCCTAAGAAAATACATTTTTAATAATTAGGGGTGATGACTTTTAACATCCCGACGTGAATATAGTAACTGATCACTAAACAAAAATTTAGCTGAAAATAAAGACGGTAAGAGATACCAATATAATTAGAAAAATAAATAACTTTTGTTATTGCTTTTGTAGTTAATATTTTATAGTTATATTTAAACTGATGTCAAGCGGTCGGATAGGCAGATAGCAAATGTACAAGCCTTTTCTAACAGAATTAAACAGAAGTCAAAAGAAAGCATATAATCTTAGAAAAACGGTGCATCCGGCCATAACACGGAATTAAAGATTTAAATGGATCTTAAAGTCAAATTATCTTCGCTAATATTTGCATTTGGTAATATAATTACTTGATTAGTAGTCTTAGTATTCTCACGAAGTCTGCTTATTTCACTTCTAAATCGTAAGGTTAAACGAAATGATGTACACATGAATAAACTCATAATTAAGGATATACAGTACGTACAAATAATTATATTAGGACAATTTACATCTTTAAAAAAAAAGTTTGGGACAATGAGACCAAAAAAAAAAAAGCAAAACAAGAGAGAATTTCGAAAGAATACGCGGAGATGATTGAATATTTGAATTCGTTATTTGACACCTTCCTACGTGGCATTGAATAGCTACCTTTTCTTTTCATTTTTTTTGTTGTTGGTAGTTATTAACGGAACCTAGCAATTATCACATAAAATTCAATCTCCTATGAACTTACCACTATATAAATTAATTAAGGTAAAAAATATATTTTTTTTTTCATGACAAACTCTGGTCTTCTCATAATAATTTTTCCGTTTTACAAAAATATATATATTTAAATTTTCTTTTCTGTTTTCTATATCAAGTAACGTTTTACAGGTTTTATGCAAATCTACATTATAATTTCAAGTTTCAACTAAACTCGTTTACAGTAGTGTTTGTGTAGTTTAAAAAATTCTTAACTAAATATATGTAACGGGGTCAGATAACTCTTGAGACTTTTTTAACAAGCCTTACAAAACTTCGTAACTAGAAATTAATATTCCCATTATTAAAGAGGAGAGTCTTAATATTTAGTGTCTGATCATATTGAAACACCAACGTGAAACACCTCTTTTCGGTCTTCATTTGGATCAACTGTTTTAACTGTGGTTAAAAGCTAACCATCTAGTTAATAACTTTACTTAATCGTTTATTCGTTTTCACGTTTAGATCCATTAAGTCTTTACTAATATACAGCGGAGATCCATTTAAACATAAACTGTGCTTGTATTGTAAAAGATCATGAGTTTTTAAGTACAGCATTTAACTTACCCATCGACTACAATAATCATACAGCTTGATATGATATCTACCCAAAGTCCAGCTTGTCCTTCCTTATTTGACTTTTTCTATTTTGCGCAATGACCAGCTTAAGAAGCAAAATCGATGAAAATAGAAAGTGTTTTAAATATTTTTGAAGATATGTTTTGTTAAAATAGCTTTTCACAAGCAAACAAGTGTAACGGTATAACTCACTTAGCATCTTTGCAATGAAGGAACATCAACTGTGGACATATGGAGTTTTGTCCTAAAACATTAGCTCTTGTCTCTGTTCAACACGAACATGGCAGTTTCTGTTGCTTAAACAACCAAAAACCCTCAAATGTAACAACAGAGGATGATCTAGCAGCCCGTAATCTCTACAACTACAACAAAATACATTGCAAGAACCTGAGATCTGTTCCATCTGATGCAATCTCGCCGCTGCCTCTTTTGTTTTAAAAAAATGGGTTTTGATTAGCGCTCATTCTTGTTTCTTGAGTGCCGGGTCCGTACTTGGGACTCCTGATGTGAATTTCTTCACACTATCTTTAGCCTCTGCGACAAACGCAGCGTCTGGCTTGTGTTTATCTGCAGGCTCTTTCAGGGCCAGACAGATGTAGAACACAATCACTACATTGACTGATACCACCGCAAGAAACCCACTCAGCAGTGTTAGAGAATGTGGAGACAATGTTGTTGAACCTGTCGGAGATTTAAAACAGAGCAGTGTAAGAGGTGGGAAAATTTCTGAGACACCTATAGCTGCAGGTTTTAAACGGTCGATTTCTGAAACACATGTTATACAAAACGGAAGCTGTGAAAATACTACATACAATACAACTTTGTGAGGGAGAGAGAGACATCACGCCAAAAGTAGTATAACCCACTCAAAGGCCATCATCGATACCAAACTTAATTATATGAACTAGGCGTCAAAGACTAAAATTGCATTTGTTACACGAATCAAGGTTACAACCATAGCATAGCCTCTTGTAGCATTTCAATCTTATGTTTTCCAGCTTTAACTCTTTTCTCTGACACCTAAAACCCAAGTTCTAATCAAACAAATTTGCATTATCTAAAAGGATTTACAATCAGAATTCTCTAATCTTCCATCAGATCCCAACAACCAGATATTGTCATGAATCAAGTTTCACTAATAAAGGAGTGTTTGCACTCTGAGTTCAACTCAATTTGAAATGCTTCAAGTGTCAAACCTCCTACTACGAGCTACAACAAGGCTAAACTTATGATCCGGAGTTACATCGATCTTCAGATCATAGTTGATAGGACAGACTTGAGAGTAGATGCGAAAACAAAATTACATCGAATAGTAATTAGCAATATAATGCCCTCTTTTTTTTTTTAAACTCATCAACTCCTTACAAAATTTATTCTTCAACTACACACTCAGTCATTTAGCCAAGAAAGATCCAGAGAAAACTCACAATCATAATGAAAACACCGAATGATTATGATACTAACAATCTAAAATTTCAACAAAAAATCAAAGATTTACAGAAATCTTTGTCGATCTAACCAATACGAGAACAGGTAAGTGTAGATGGGTCCTTCAGACACAGATTTACTCATACATCAAGTCAAGCCTGGAAATTTTTGCCTTCATGTGGTCTTACTAGGAGAACAGTTCGTCCTAAAGATGCATCAACTAAACCGAAAGTTCATCAAATATAGTTGAAACTAGGTTTCTATATCAAAGATCAACTGTTCCAAAGATAAATAAAGACGAAAACAAATGGGGATGCACAAGTAAATTAACGAAAAAGTCAATCCGAATGAATTACCAAATAGGCCCATACCAGGAAGCAAATCATTGTTGAATCCATATAATATCGCAATAGGAAGAATCCACATGAACATTGATGCAACAAGGAACTTCTGCATAACCCCAGCCATGGTAGCACGAAAATCTACAACAAATTATGAAAACCAGGAATCACGAAAGATGCGAGATGCGTGAAAAAAAGAGAGACACGAATCTGTAATCCAAGGTTTTCAACTTTGACACCAAAGAGTAAGCGACGAGAGAAAAGCTTACGTTGAATCTGGTGAGTTAACTCGGTCTTGGCCTCTCAAGGTTTCAGAGTATTGCTCGCAATTTGCAAAGTTCAGATTTTTATTTTTCTTCTACAGAGTTCGTTCCTTTGACGAATCCCCAATGAACCAGAATGATATTTTCTAATACCACATTTTAAACCGAAACAAACCGGTATATCCCACTAAATATTCTACGCGGTTCGGTTCACATTCAACTTCCCGGTTCAAAGAAACTGCTGGTGTGAGATTAGCAGTCTTCGATCTCAATTTCTTCAGAGGCTCTGCAAACCAAAGTATCTGTATTGGCAAAGAAAAGAAGCCAAACATCTCCAATGCTCGCTTTGATCAATGGGTTTTGGCATTGGTGTTTGGTTTGTTCAACAAAGAGAGAACTTGTGCTTTTTAGAATTTTAGAACTTTGAGAAGACATCAAGTGTCACAACAACAAACTTTGTGCATACCAACTGTACGATAAAATGCTTCTGGGAGTAAGAAGAGAGAATCAGCATTGGGATTTTTGATGTTCATATCGTCAGATTGTTTCTTTGCAGACACAAAGAAGGCAACAACATCAAATCATCCTTGTCCGAGAGAATGGTGGGACTTCAAGACGGATTTCTCAGAGATGTTTGGTAAAGTCTGAGTGGATATATACAAAGCAAGTATGTCACATAATGTTGAGTTGTCCTCTACGAATGTGGCTATGAAACAAGAATGCTTTTGTGCATGGAGTACTCTTGTGGATGAAAGATATCTGGATGTTGCAGCCATATGCAACGGGTCAGAGAACAAAACTTACATGTTTCTGCAATTGGGATTAGTCCTTGTGTATATGCTGATTGGAAGTTGGGATTGACGACTGATGACAATATAGTGAGCTTGTTCTTATCATCTTCATCTCTAGTTTTGCCACCTTGTGTTGACAAAGAGCGTCAAACAATGTCTAAGGGACCGAGTGAGTACATTGTTACATCTGGAGAGGCTCTTGACTTGCACATCACGAAAAGGCGAGCCAGAACTAAAGATCCTACTATAACATTTGGCCTCCAAACCTTGCATAATCTCAATCAGGTTATTAGAATCCTAATTCATTTAAACTACTTCACTATTCCAAGACCAAAGAAAGCATGTTATATATAATATAAGGTGTTCAGGTGATTTAAAGGATCGCACTGCAAGAATTGAATGTAGGAGACCTCTGGAATAAGCTAGTGGAGTATTCAGCAGAGAGGTTAAGCAGAAGAACAAGGCTTGGCTTCTTCTCGTAGCTCATTTACCTCACTCTCTGCTTTTCTCTATCTGTTTCTGACATCTGAAGTCTACTTATTTGTTACCCATCAAGTGTTGTTTCTTTGCTTGGATAATCTTTCCTTGTGTAATTGGTTTATTCCGATCTTAGCTGGTTAAAGCATTTACTCAAGACATAATCAAACCACATAAGTTGCCTAAAATAATCATCCATTCACACAATTAAAGAAGCCAACCAACTACATAGTGAACTAATTTTAAACATCACTCGATATGGTAATGGAAGAAAAAACCAAAAAAATATAAATCCTTAGAATGTCAAAAAGAAAAACAGTTACTCGTGTGACAAGGCAATAGAAGATAGCAGAGCTATTAAAGTTACGGTAGCAGAGCAATCTCTAACTACAACCGGAGCCGGAGATCCGCCGCCTTCATATCTGAGACGGATACTGCTGGTTAGACCCTCTCCTTCTCTTTGGAAAGTTAGTGAGCATCCTGTACATCTCCTCCTGGGCCTTGATGCGACTAGCTTCTTCACCTATACATAGCTCTTCAGAATCTCCAGTCGTCACAACCAGAGCAAGAGCTGAAGAGGAAGCTGCGGCGGGAAGTGGAAGTGGATCCTGAGCTTGAGCCAAAGCCGGAGCTAGAGCCATGGCCGGAGCTGGATGCGGCGGAACGATCTCGAGAGCAAAGAAGAGCTCCTGCTCCCCGCGTTGGGAGTGGAAGGACCAGAGGCGAATGATCTGCTTTTCTTCAAACCTGTTATGGAGGTTGACACTGTTCCATCCAGAATTCAGAACGTAATTGCAACTGGTCTTCATATCCCATCTCTTGAGGTTAAGCATCCACTTGTTACCACTTTGATCCACCAAGTTCACAGGGACTCCGTCTTTACGTGTCTTTCTGCGCTGTTGCTCTATGATGATTTGCTCTGCCTCGTTCAAGAAGTCCATCTCCTCCATTTGGTTGAACGGAATCAAGAGACGAGCTTGTTGTGTACTGAGGTCACTCATCTTAAGATCCTTCTCGATGACCAGCTTGGCATCCGTAGCGTTCTCTTTTCTCATCCGGTCAACCACCCATTCCGGCATCACCGCCCTCTCTCTTCTGACCGGCTCCTTTCTAACCGGCCCTCTTCCGACCGGCGGCTTTATTTCTCTAATCGGCTCTGCTCTGATCGGTTCGTAGTCGGGTACCATAAGACTCCTCGTGGACTCCACGGAGGACATACTTGAAGAAGAAGCATCATGACGGTTAGGGTTTTGTTGTTGGCTCTCGAACTCATCAATCTTTCGTTTTCCCAAGAAAGATTCGGCGTATGGAGCCACCTCCATGTTCTCATTCTCATACCCTTGAGAAGAGGAGGTCGATCCCCGGAGGACCTTCGTTAAACCTTTAACCGACTTTCCTCTGACCGAATTAGGCTTTGTTTCTCTGATAGGTTCGTCGTCGGACACCAGAAGACGCCTCTTGGAGGCGACGGAGGACTTATTTGAAGAAGAAGCATCATGGTGGTTAGGGTTTTGTCGATTTCCGAAGAAAGAAAGTATCGTGTCGAGCAGGAATCTGTTTCTCTCTTCTTCTTCTGCTCCTCGCCTCGCTCTTGTTTCCTTATCGCCATAAGCGGCGATCAACCTCGCCGTAAGAATCTCACACGGCGAACGCTCACCGCGTTGATCATCATCAACATATGTCGCCATCTTCGCCGAAAAGTATTCTTGATTTTCTTTAGGAATAAAAAAAAGAAGAGAGTATTGTTGATTTTTTTTAGTTCCGCAATGAATCTCAGAGATAAACAACAATGAGAAAATTGTAGAGTGGCTGACAAGGTTTAGTGGCAGTTGCTTATAAAGACTTCGATTGACCTTTTTCTTGACAGTCACATAAAAAAGGGAATTTTCTATTTCTTTTTTTTCCTTTTTGTTGGTGAAGATTTTGTCGAATCTGTAACTGTAACAAACTACCTTTATTTCCTTTTCCTAAATCCGTATTTATCTTGTATTCCTATTGGTTCAGAAGATTCTATAATAATACGTCAACGTATCACTGATGGCAGAAAAATAAGTCAACGTATCACTACCAGATTCTCGACAAACTAAAAAAACGGAACACAAAAATATTAATTTTGCGAAAATATTTATGGGAGAATTTGTTGAGTAATCAAAAAAGAAAAAAAAATTTCACAAACTAAACAATTTTTAATTTTTTTAAGAGAGACGAAAATAAAAGAAGAGAGAAAATGGTTATTTTATGAATTATATAATTTTTTCTAGTTATTAATTTAAATATCCCAATATCTATTATGACAACTTTGTTCTTTAGTTTCAAGAACAATCAAGAAAACAGAGTTTTTTTTTTCTTGCTAAAGAAATAAACTTGGATTTCTGTAGGGTTTTAAAGTTTTATCAGTGGAAGACGAAGAACAAACTCTTTTTATAAAAATAACTAAAAACAAATTTGTAAATCATTATAATAAAACATAACAAAAAGGTTTTTATTTTATATGAGTCTGCAATATTCAAACAATGGCCACTCAGGTTTCTAGAAACCACTGTTTTTACCGATTGGTGAGCTTTAGTTGGCAATGTTAAACGCTGTCTTCATTCTCTGCACAATATGTGGTAATGTATTGAGATTCTCCTCAATGGCTTTGTGCACGCAGCTCTCCATCTCGTTAACTGCCTCAGGCCTTATCTTCTGGAGCTTTGCAGCTTCAAATCTATCTTGACACACCATCAACGATCTGTTCAGTCTTTCCTATCATTCAACAAACATACATAGAGAGAGATTCAAGATCTTGTTTTTTTATCATATATAAGCATCAACAAACTTTTGTTCTGTCTTTTTGGGGGGGACTTGTTACCTGAAACTGAGCCATTTCGTTCTCGAAATGCTGCTGAGATTTGACAACGGGGACACTGCAGTACTCGACGCAGTTACTTATCTCCTCTTGCTTTCTTCTTCTGTCAAAGCACTCGTATGCACATTTGAAATAAGCTTGCTGCAACAATGAAACAGGGCTGATTCATTTGAAATTTGCTGGATCATGTAAGTAAGTCAATATAGCAACCAAAGAAATAACAAAGTGGTGAGCAAAGGAAAGGTGTTGACACTCATGAACCTGATTCAACAGTCTATAAAGACAAATATAGAAAGAAGCTTAAGGTATCGAATATCTTTCAGAGTCGTTCAAAAAAGGTAAAAGCTTTTTATTTTTCCTGGAAAATTTGACTTGGACATTGCAGCGGCTTTCAGTACAGAGATTGTATCAAATCGAAAAGATTTCAATATCCATAAGCTAACATTGCTACAATTTGTTAATCAGAAAGTCTAAAGAAATAAAATTATGAAGATTGATGAGCTCGCGACGCGCGCACACACGATCGAATACAAATGTCTACCTGGAGGGTGAAATTGATGTGATCTTGGATAGGAGAAAGCTGATCCTGAGCAGCTGCATTGACTTCTTCAAGCTTTCTTCTAAGCCTTTCCGATACGATTTGCTCCTCCGCCGCAGCTATGTGATCCATCGTCTCTCTCTCTCTCTCTCTGATGAGCGTCGTAAATTTGATTTAGGGCTTTAGGGTTTAGCTGCTGCGCTTCAAAAGCCGCAAACAAAATGGGTTGTACAAATTTGGGTCGGGTTAAGGTATCCCGGGTTTCTCTAACCCGGTCTTCTATCGCACCCCAGTCTTCATTAACCGATATAAACCGGAAACTAAATCCGTCATTGACCGGTCCAGATAACCAGCTAGAAAAGACAGACGGTGAGCTAAAGAGACATTAAGCACGAAGAAGTGCGAGAATAAATATTTACAGGTCTTGCCCCATGCTCCGACCAAGATCTGTTCTCTCAATTTCACCGTTTGAGAATTCTTTCGATTGGCAAATTCTGATCTGTATCTGTATTTCTAGTTCGTTATTGCAAAATCCTTTTTTTTGCGATTGACAATCTGAAATTTGATGAAGAATGTATAACTAAAAGTTTCTGACTTTTGAAGTGGACCTCAAGCTAATTTCCCAGGAAGTTAAGCTTTGCATTAGGATCAATTTCTACCAAAGGATGATTTTTATTAAAGCCACCACAGAGTTGGGAGATTAATTAAGCAGTAAGATATGAGCCAACTTCCATGGGTCTCTCCAATCAATAGATATGTTACAGAGACATCGTCAGACTTAACATTTTGGGTATCTTTCATTAGTCTTGAGACAGAGATGTCAAATCATCGAAATGGCGAATTAGATTTGAGATTGAAAACAGGAGGAGATGTTGGAGTCTTCACATGAGCCCAAATATCAGCACCATTGGTTTGAGCAACCCCTAATGTATACTCCATTGGGACAAGACATAGCCCTCTGCTTCTTAGGCTGTACTCCTCCAGCTCCTCCTGGTTACAGAGACAAGCAAAGTTATGTTAAGTGCAGATCACAGTTAGTAAAAAAGAGGGTCAAGACTCTGCTCACCTGCGTAGTAATGGGGGTTGTTTGCAGATATGGAGCGCTTAGAACCTGTAGAGACAATTAACCAAAGTCAATTGTTGATCTGAAGAGACGAAGGGAACATGCATTTGGATTAGGAAAACTTGAGCAGACCTTGACTTGTTCTTGAAGAAACTGAATGTATTGCATCGTCTCTAAAAGTACTGATGCAGTGTCGGTCTGTAGAATAAGAGACTTGAACAGGATTAGAGAAGACGAAGAGCATGTAAGAGAGATCATTTCTCTTGCTTGAATAGTACCGAATAGTACCTTTCCGTAAGGGGAAACTAGCTGTTGAAGAGCTGAAATACGTTCTCCAACCTTGTCCTTCCTCTCCTGTTTAACCACAGAACAAGAAAGTTCCAAGATCATTAGCATGCTGGTCCAAGAATGTCAGGAAGCTTCATGGGCACAAAGGAGTTCTCTTTTGAAAGATACAGAGTGTTATTATAAAACCTTGGAAGAGAAAGAGAGATCAGACTTGTGTCGTTTCATGCTGTTTTCTTCAAGAGAACAGACACTGCGCTTATTCTCCATCATCATCCCCGCCGAGTCTCTACAGTATTCCATCCCTTTTCAACGAACGAAACAAAAAAAGATCGGTTTTTTCGACATAAGAAACCGGTTTACTTGCTAGCCTTTAATAGGGATATGTTGTGAGAAAAAGCAAATCAAAAAGGGCTAATCCAAAGCAAGTTGCAGAACAAACATAGGATTACAACTCAGAAACAACTTGCTTTTTGCAGCGTCACAAGGACACAGAGGTATTCTCAGACAGAGAAACAAATCGGTGACTTTGGTTTCAAAAGATCAAAGTAAATGTGAACTACAAAGGGATTCAAATCTAGGTTTGGACTAACAATGCGCTGGAAGATAAGACTTTGGATAAGAAAATTAGCAGCCAAAGCAATGGTCAAAGAGAATAGATTATGGTCAGAGGTTAGCCTTTAAGATCATGCACATCAGCTTAAAGTATTATTTTAAGTTTGGTAGCACAATCATGGATGATTAAGTATGATATCATACTTTGCTTCCATACGGAGACAATACATTGTATAAGCATGATATTCTTTTTTATACTCAAGAAACTATGGAATCCATTTATATGATTATACATTAACTGGTTCATTTAATAGAACTGGCTACTCATTAAATGTTATTTTTTTGGAAAACTTGATAACATTAAAATTTGTATAGAGACAAGATTCAAATGTAAGAGAAATTCAACAGAATACCCCACAAGAAGATGAGAGAACAAAAAAAAAATTTGATCTTTATTCTATCTTGCTCTATATGTTTAAGATTTAGCCTTAGATAGTTAAGACTTTAAGTAGGCTATTAAGGCAAAAAAAAAATACCAAAAATGGGGTAAGTGAAGAAAAAAAAAACTTAAAGAACTTACAGAGAGAAGAGACTCAGCATTTGCCAGAAAACAGCAACACTAACCAACAAGAACTTCACAAACTCTGAATTGTTCTTCTTCTAAGCTCCTAAATTGGGTTTTGTGGCACCCTTTTTGGTTACTATCACAAAGCACAAAACACGATGAGACCCATAATCGAGGATTTTGATCTCTATGGTACTCTTGATTTCTCTTGTCTTCAGGTCTTGAAGAAGGAAAGTCTCTCGAGCTCCTACGGTCTCGTTGAAACCTCAGAGGCTCGCGTTTGGATGAAAACGGCGTCGTGACTTAAAAGGGTCTTTAGGCCAACCGCAGAAATCTCGATATGAGAGAGAGAGATAGAGATAGAGAAAGAGAGAGAGAGCTTTGTGAACAGAAGAAAGCAAAGAGAAGAGGAGGGGACTACTACCGTTTCATATGTCTTTTTCTTTATTTTGTTTTTCCTTTCGTCTTGTTCATTAAATCCTCATTAAATCTAGATTTTCTTGTGAGACAAAAAAAATATACTATATTACAAAAATCATTAAGAAAAAAGTTATACATACATATATTTAAATGTAATCATGCCGGATTACTGTTATTTGTGGATAAATATGTAAAGAGGTAGGCAGTGACTTGTTTATACATGTAACTCTTTTATTCAGTAGTTTTTAAGTTGATGATAACAAAATAATCATGAAAATGTTATAGTGTGATTGAAGTAACTCTAAGAACTTCATTGTACCATCTAATGTATTGAAAATGTAATTTGTTGAATGACAGCTAATGTACAACCAATGAAGAGAGGTCCTTTTACCAGTCCCAGATAGGAGTCGCTTTCATAATAAGAAGAAGAAAAAAAAAACTAATTATTTTGAAAGTGACATTTGATTGATTTGTAGTACTCCTATTATTTAGTTTTGTCAAAAAAGATTTTGACCAATTCTGCCGCAGCTGTCTCCACTTTTTCAACTTTTTACTTTTCTTGTTTTTGTTTTTTTTCTCTCGTTCTTTGAAATATTCTACGAGAGAGGTTAAATGCATTAGGTACCTTTTGGTTGATATCCGAGTACATTCACACAGGTCACATTGTCTATACTCTATAGATACACTCTAGTTTCACAACTTTATTATAGGTAGAATCTATTTGACTTTTGTTTTCCTCAGTAAATTATTATTAAAGCTCATTTGACTTTTACAAAGATGATTGTGCCCATTTTAAACGAATATTGAGTTTGGTTCAGGTTCTGATCATTCAGTGAAACATTTAAATGCAAAAATATCAAACTCAACTAAACCAAGAAACTGAAAATTAAAAACTCTCTTACAACAAATCCAGTAAAAAGAACTAAAGGGCCATCATATATGTTTACAGGCTAACTTTCTGCCCAAATTAAATGTTAAACATTTATCAACAATATGTTATATCCTGAGATAATGTTCTCTCAACAGTATGTTATATTATTAGTGGAATCTACCACATAGCAACAAACTATTTCTTGATTAACTATGTTACCAGAAAAGAACATATTCTCGATTACATGCAAACTGTTGAAGTGGTTACAAATGTCGAATTATCGGACCCACGCGGTTTCTGTATTTGTTTCTTTGTCAATTGTCACTATTTTTTTTTCTTTTGTCTTCGCGGCGACCAGATTTCATTTTAGGTTCTTTTTTTATTCTATTTAGAGTTGTATATAGTTTTTAAAACAGTCTTACGTACGCACCGAAACGGAAGAAATGGCGATAAACCTATTTTAAATTATTTTTCTTTATCCTACTTTGTTGCAACCTTAATTAATAGAAAAATTATAAACGATAGACCAAGCGTTTGCTGCAAATGTGCGACACCAATCGCAAGTATCGTAATAAATCGTAATCACTATTGAACCATTAGTTAGCAACAACGCAGACCATTCTAAACCTCTAATTAGCAACAATACGGATAGTTTCCAAAAGCACAAATCAATTTTAAGATGTTCGTCTTACATTCGAACATCATTATCATTCAAATTAAATGCCTCAATAGGTTGGTTGGTCTAACAAAAAAGGTCATTTATGTAAAACCGAAACCCCCACGCTTCATTTTCCACTTGCGTAAGGAAGAAGCTATTATAAAGTTTCAAAATTTCCAATCGCAACTTACAAGGACAAATGTATTATATTACATGTCTTTTAAAACATGAAAATAATCTTTTAAAAATAGCTAAAGTTGTTGATTCATTTCAAGCATTTCAACTTGTTTGCAGCGTCGATGATGCTTTGCTTCGTTTCCAATCTCTGGCACTTGAGCAATTCTTCCAATATAACTGCAGATTCTGGGATATCGCTCTCACCGATCACAGATTCAGAGCAAAGCCCAAAGAGCACCACGTTCACGTCATCTTCCTCTTCTAGTTGCAGGCTGAACAAGTGATCAAAAACCTTGAAAAAACAAAAAAACATTAATTATAAACTCAGTGACTCAAAACCCGGTTTTCAGATCAGATCGTGAAAATACCAGAGATTTCACAAGAACAGAAGCACATTTTGCTTATACCTTTTTCATTCTAGATACTACCATATCCTTGACAGATTGTGACCTTGAGACCAAGTTCACTACAAACAGACCGTGCTGAGGGAGAGCACGCTTAACCGAAAGCAGGAATGTCTCTTCGATAAACTCTGATGCAGGACAGGTTAACCCGCCGCTGCAGACACAGATCAAAACAAGAAAAATCAGTAAATCAATGTGGGAAAAATTCATATTAATGTAATAATATTTACTTGGCCTAGTTGCTTACCTTAAATCTGCTGAATCCACATCTATAATCAGAATGTCAGGACATCTTCTTCCTTCCAAGTTAGACGCCGTGGAATCCCCATTTGATTTAGTAGACACAGCGCTTGAGATCTTTTCAGAAGAAGTTTCAGAGTTTGTTATATCCCCGATGAACTTGATCCCATCAGCAATATGTACCTATTATAAGAATGGGAAATAAGCTTAGTGTTGCTGCGAAACAGAGAATCGAATATAAACATTAGAGAGATTGGGAAAAGTTTACCGTCAAGCGATCATTTTGAGTGAAACCAAAGTAATCCTTGCCAACATCAAGCATTACCGGGTCAAGCTCAACCGCCTATTCAACGAGATACCATCATATAAGTGGCAATCGAAAATACTCAACTTATATTAATGCTTTTAAACTCAAATTACCTCAATATTGAAAAATGGCAAGCATCCATGGAGGAACATGGGAAGCAATCCTGCTCCAAGACCAATAATAACAGTCTTAACCTGAAAAGCATCAGATATTGCTGGATCAGTACAAGGCAAAGACAAACAATTTAAGAACAGTTTCACAATGAAAGCCTTGGAACAACGAAGCAATGACTGAATGACTCACCATCTTTCCGCATGATTCAGTCTTCTTCAGGTAGGAAGATACCAATGCGAATCCAGATATAATCCCAGTGTGATAAGAGCTAGCCAAATAATCATGAGAGACCCTCACAATAGGTCCGCTCGGTTCTGAAACGTAAACAGGTAAAAAAAAAAGCGAGCATTAGAATTATACGAACGTCTCTATCATCTAAAGAAGTAAGATTTTTTTACCTTGGTTTCCTTTTTTATTTCCCTTTCGTTTTGATTGGGAAACATTTTTAATTTTCTCTTTCTGATCAACAATCTCACCATCCTCAACAAGCAAAGCTTCAGACTGTATCAAATACTCGGTTCTTTTGAATACAAGGCGTCGAAATGCCAAATCATCAGAAGGAGATAAGCCTCCGGGATTACTAGGAGTGCTTTCATAAACCACATCTTCAACGACCACTTGCCCAGTCAAGGAAGACGTAACCTTTATAAAATCGAGATAAATTGTAAGAAACAAAAATAAGATCCGAATACTAATTAGTAGAACATTCATTCAAAATTTGCCAAAAACTGGTAGCTAAAAAAGTCGAGCAATAACAGAGACAATGATCATATCAAAACAAGAAATGAAAGGGACAACAAATAATAACAGTTATTTAACATTGATTTATTGCAAAGATATAGTAATAATACCTCGTGGACAGTAGTACGCTTTTTGATCCCATCACTTGCCATCATATACCTGCACAGCACCATTTCAATTTAACTAATAATTAACAAGCGACAATGTGGAAAACAATAGGAGAAGAAATATTGAAATTTAGAATTCTAGAATAATTAAGAAAGTTGAAGAAAAAATTCAACCGTTGCATCAAAAGCATGGAATATACAGAGATAAGAAAAATATGAACATACGGAATGCGAGCTGCTTCATCATCATTTCGAGGAGCTAATTGTGCTACCATGGGAGATAGATCATTCTGAGGGGAAAAAGGTTGTAACATAAAGTTAACAAATAAGTACAATACACAACTGAATCACACAACTATATATACAGATTGTACCTGGATATCCCCCATGCTGACGCCACTATGGCTATTGTCGAGATAAACCTTACAACAGGAAATTAAGATTTGCTTAAATTCTCATACCGAAAATAGATTACCGAGATAGCATGGTGAATACAAAGAGGCTTTATCATATATAGGTTACCAACTTACCATTATGAGACGAGCGGCCTGAGAACTCTCGACAACCTGCCACTGTCCTTCCTCTGAACAGAACAGCCACTCATGAGCACGAGTCTGAAATTCAACACTCCCTTTTAATAGTTCAAACGATACTAAACATTCACAGCACCTTTTGCGAATTTAATTTGAAGGATCAATGATGTTGACAAAAGGTTACCTTGGGGACAAGAAAAACACCACAATGATACACGAACGGCTCGGTCTGCTTCTGAGCATCAAGAAGCACGGCCCTATAACTGAAATTGCTTCCTTGGCAACCCAAAGTAAATTTTATACGACGACCTTCATTAAGCTCTGCTAAATCTCCTTTAATACCAAGTTTCAAATCTTCATGGGAGTAAAATAAGTCTGAGCCATTATTGCAGTCTCTACGTATCTTGTTTTCACTCTCAAGAGCTTCAAACATACCAGAAGCCTAGAATTATAATTCAAAACCTTATATTACATTGGATAAGAGCACACTAAAAGTTTTCAAGAGTCGAAAATTAACATATGAAGCGAACAGTGATGTCAATGAACTAAAGGTGAACGTCAAAAAGAAATCCAAAAACAATAATGAGTTCTCTATAGTCTCAAAAATTTCTTTTATTATAGTGAAATGTTCACACAAAATGAAACTCAGATTCAGGAAAGCCTTACCTGAGTATCATTGCCGCCAAGAGATAAAAGATCGAAAGAAGAGACTATCTCATGCAATACAATGGACTTTTCTTTTTCAGCCACCACCATAAATGTCTTAAGTTTCGATCGTTTTTGAGAGATTGAATGAACAGTCATCTTCCAACCAAAACGAAATCTCGAAAAAAGCAATGCTGCAAAAAACACCAAAGAATGTCCATATAGTGAAGAAAAACGATAACCATGAAATACTTCACCTGGTGGTTACTGAAGCTAAGGTGGTGGAAGTACCTAAGACATGAGACTCCGCCAGCGTTAGACAGATAAACTTCCCCCCAGGTTTCAGAACCCGCTTGGCCTGAGAAAAGAGGTATTGATGATCTGATATGAAATCGATATCAAGCATTTCAAGCACACAACTTTCACTGTATTGATCCTACAATCTGAAGAAGAACAAGCACGCACCTCTGATAAGTATTGATTCCCCAGCTTCGTACCAACCTCAGGCTCCATTAAAGCATCAAGAGCACCTTTGTCGAGAACCGTATCAAAAGATTCATCGGCCAACTGGGCAAGAGAAGTAAAATGCTTGTCTCAACGAAAGAGCACAACGAGAAGCTATAAGAGAAGAAAACAGAGCACAGAAGTTCCAAACAGAGCCAAAACCTGCATCTTTGTTATGTCCATAACTCGCCAACGAAGCTCGGGCCGAGTCCTTATGTTGCGGCGAAGCATATCGGAGATAACAACCTTGGAGAAGTCGACATTAGTGATGTCACGGAATCCGGCATCGTACAAATGCTCGGTAAGGCGGGAGTTTCCGCATCCGGGAACCAGAATCTGAAGCGACCCAGAAGAAGAAGAGGACGAGGAAGAAGAAGAGGAGTCTCGGAGGAGAGGTAAAAGCGAGTCACGGAGCTGAGGCCACTCAGCGTACCACTCGAACGAGTCGTCTTTGCCTCTGAGAGTGAAGAATTTATCCCAATTCTCTTTGCTGGTGAAGTCTTCGAGGGTTTGGAGGAAATCATCTGAAGAAGCTGCTTGGCCACCTTTCTTCTTCCCCATAGCTTCTATGGAATCCCCCTCCCAAGTCTCAAAAACCCTAATTCCCAGTCCAAGGATCTATACCCCTCGCTGACCGCAGTGAGTGACGGAGCTTGGAGGTAGAGGCTGGACTGGAGCCGGGGTACGGTTTAAATTTGGTTCAAGAATTAATAGCCCGCATCAAACCGAAACAGATAAAAATAAACCAAACCGAGTAAGTTTTAAAAATAAACTAAAAGGATCTCTCATAAATCTTTCTATCTCTCTCTTCTACTTTTTTACTTTTTTTAATTCTTTTTTAACTATTAGAATTTAGAAACTTGCAAATACGAGTGATGAAAATGCTCTAATTTTTTAGCACGAGGAACCGTCATAATATAAAGAAGAAAATACAAAGGTTTAAAATATCCACAATATTTATTATCTCAAATATATACATATTTTTTTGAACATCAAATATATACATATTTGTATCTATTTAGTTTAGAAAATATTTTTACTATGTGTACCCCAATTATTATCATTATGAACATCAATAATACTTTTTCTTATTATACGCAGTCATCAATCTAAGATGCTATCCGAAGTTTTGATTTAGTGATCAAATTTTTTTTCATTTTTCTTTTAAGGGAAATTATGTCATATAACCATATTTCTAAGCTAAATTCATGAAATAACAATAGCAAAGTAAATGCTATAATATTTCTTATATATTCTACAGTATATACAAAATTGATATTTTACTTCTTTTTTTTAATTTCTTTCCCCTACTATCTTCTCTTCTCTTCTCATCATCACCTCCGCTCATCTTATCTCTCCTCCTCTCCTTCCCCTCTCCTTACCTCACTTTTCCTCACCTCCGCTTATCTCATCTCTCCTCCTCTCTTTCCCCTCTCCTTGCCTTCCCTTTCCTCTCATCCCCTTCTCTCTCGTCTTTTTTTCTTCCTTCCTTTTTTTGTTTCTGTATATATTATATCAAATAGGACTATTCCATAAAATTATATATAGTATAGTAAGTAGTATAATATAGTACAATGTTATTTTTGATAATTGATTTTGGACCATGGTTAGTTTAATAATTTTTTAAATAACATGACTACATTATTCGATTGTTTTGCAAATATGATTATTGAACAAAAAAACTCTTCTTTTAAACCAAGTGATTCTTTTTATTTGTTTTCTATTAAGCTAAGTATTTATACAATTTAAGCTTATCATGAACCTTTAGATATAATCCATCAAACGTCTTATGATTCAACTCTATCATAAATATATCATAGATATCTGAATCCTTTTCTTCATGTGTTACACACGAGATTCTCTATCATGTCACACACACACACCCTACGGAACAAAATCTCTCCGATCGAAAGGCGAGAATGACTCAACAAGGTTTCACTTGAGAATTGACTCCACTCTTCTCAACAAGGTTTCACTGGAGGTCTGGAGCAATGAGAGATTATGGGGGACGTGTATCATGTAGGCTTGTAGCTGTAAAATCAAGAAAAACTAGGATATGATCCACTAATAAATAATGTTACTGCATTTTCCTCTCTTCTTCTGTATAGTTCACTGAGAAAACGTTTTCACTCTGCTATAATTTTTCCTCTTCTTTAGATTCGTGCGTGTCGTTTTCTGGTTAAAAATGGATACTAGTTTTTTTTTTATATGTTTTTTACGGTCGTCCATCCTTTGTTTTCTTGTAAGAACGTAGAAATCATTTCGTGATTCTTGTTCTTTTTTTTTATAGTAATTGAAAAACAAATTGTGGGCAGAAACAAAGATGTTGAGATTCATTTTCGTACGTTGTTTCACTCATCCTTATCTCTCTGCTTTGAATCTTGTCTTCCTCCCGTGAGTTTATTAATTAATCGTCTTTGTTTTTTTGCTTTAATGAGAAACCAGTTGGTACGGTTGTTCACACATCACTATCACTCTGTTTGAAGTATGTTTAGTTAACATGTACTATTGTGCATGTTCCGCGTGCATGAACAAGTTTGAATCGATATTTTTACTATATCAAATATTTAACAGCATAATTTTCCTATAAATACCGATGCAATGTACGTTTGCTCTCTACAACTCAACTCACTCAAACAAAAAGAAAGAAAGAAACACAAAATACTCACAATGAAGATACCTTCTTCAATTGTCTCGTTTCTCATCACTCTCCTGTTGGCTGCAGCTATCTGCACCCACGGACAAGAACCGGTGAAGGACACGGATGGAAATGCAGTTAAAGCCGGCGAACAATACTTCATCCAGGCGGTTAAGACCGAGAGTAACAACGGAGGTGGTCTTGTCCCAGCCGCCATTTCAGTATTTCGCTTTTGTCCACTTGGAATCACCCAATCACTCCTTCCAAGTCAACCGGGCCTACCGGTTACCTTCGGATTTCTATCCTCGGACACGGACACCACCGTTACGACATCCACCGATGTAACCATCGAGTTCCAGGCCGGAATCTGGCCGTTCTGCAAAGACTTGTCCAAGTTATGGGAAGTCGATGAATCCTCATTGGCTAGCGAGGAGCCAGCGATTCTCATCGGTGGTGTACCGGAGCGAACAAATAGCCAGTTTAAGATTGAGGAAGCCGGAGCAAACACTTACAAGTTGACCAGCTTGACCGGAACCGTTGGAGTCAGCCCAGGGATTTGGGGAACACAACTAGTTCTCACCAATGATGACGCTAAGACCATACTCGTTAAAATCAAAAAGGTTAACAATGATGCCAGTACGGCTGCTACATCCACTTCTCGTGTTGAGAAGTTGGGTCTAAGGATGTTCACGTTCTACTAGTCCACAAGTCAAAATCATTTGTAATCATGTAGCGTCGTCCATGGCCAAAGAATAACGGGTTGAGAAATACCTAGACGCATGCATGTAGCTGAAGTTTTCTGTACTTTGATCATTAATAAACAAAACTTTATGTTTTCCAGCGCTTTATGAATTATGAGACACGGCTTTACATCATCAAAACAATACATATATACTCTGGTTCTAATGACCTCTTACTAAACTACTGACTGTAGACATGTACTCTTAAGTTATAAAGACAGGAAATAATTGCAAAGAGAAATCTCATTGCTGTGTCTCTACACGACACATAATATTTTTTATACTTTTGGAGTCTCAAATAAGCTTTACGATCAAACTCTGATGTGCTCATACGCATTTTTTTCTGACCAAAAAAAAAATAATAATAATAAATTATGATGCATTTGAAGACAAACTATACTCAAATCCTAATTAACTAGCGGGTGCTGGCATATTAGGATTCGTACTTTATATTAGTGAATGACGATAATAAATCTGTTCTCATTTTCAGCTATGCCATTCCGTCTTTTTCATGATTCTGATCCTTTTTTCTACTAATTTTGAGAAAATTAACTGTAACAGGATCACTCAGATCAGGCAGAGTTGCCTGAAACCCTAATTCTTGGAAACTAGAACCGGTTCAGAGATGATGATATACAAACATAATCATCGGCCACCAAATTACACACTCTCTCTCTCTCTCTCTCTCTCTCTCTCTCTGCCCAAATCATTATTACACAAACGCCAATAGTTCATTGATTTGCCATTTCCCTTAACTTGAATAGGAAAAAGAAAAGGTGCGAATTAAATGAGCTAAATCTAATTAATATATATATATTTCTTTTTGGTTGACATCACATGCCTTTTTCCCTCAACGTGAATTAGGGCTTTGGCTACAGCGTCTGCTTACTTGCTTCACAAGTGACTTAGAAATCTCAGTTTATTATTAATTACCAGCTTAATATAAGATTCACATTCAACACGTCCAACCTCAACGTTATTAATACAATTTTGGTGCAAGCAAACAATTTATGAAGTATGGAGTGAGCGACATGCACGGTTACACTCGAGTAGGTCATGAAGAATTCACCTCAAATAGTCAGGCAAATCTTTCAAACAGTTTGGCGGGCTTGTAACGGTAGTGCTAAGTCATGCTGATAAACTTACATTTTTTATATAAAGTTTCACAAGGTCGATTATGAACCAGATTATTAAAACTGAATACGCTTATATACCAGTTATAAAAACAAAATAAAATTAGACAGAAACCCACGCGAGATCGTTGAGATTGCGGATATATACTGAGACGACATGGTATGGGAGACGGCACAAATATGTGACCAGAACACGGTTTCTTATGTGTGAGTCACTCAATGTATAAGAAAATTCAGGTTATGAAGGGTGGTGGTGAAATTGACCGATAAATTCTGCTCCAGTGTGTTTCATCTCCATAACTTAATCGGTTGGGTTAATTCTCAATTAGGTCCCATTAGCTTTGACATGTCTTATCAGATTTGTCATAACTTTAAACCGTCTGGAAAGTGCCGCCAAACAGAAGCTGATTAGTTTCCTATCTTATTTTTAAAATTCAGTTTGATCCAGTACTGAATAGGCGTTCATCGGACATGATCTTTAAGATGTTTATTTATGCTAGCTGCATCGTAAATTTTCTTGTTTGTATCCAAATGACGTATCTTTCTTTTATCATATTTAAATAACTCAAAATACCAAAAACACATCAGCTTCAAAATATCAAAAACCTGGTGACCATTAAATTAACGGTAACATATACATATCTAGTCAATATATTATTAATATAATTTTTTTTTTGTATTTGAATTTTAAAATATTAAAAAATAAAGAAAAAACAATTTATTAATGGATATGTCACGTCTCTAAAGATTTCTCAAATGAAAAACTGTTTTGACTTTCTTTTTTTTTTTTTTCAAATTATATTCTCATTCAGAATTATTTTAAAGCATTTCCTCATACTATTATGCATGTTCCTCGTGCTGAAGAAATTTGAATCGATTACCATCGAGTATAAACCCCTCTTTTCAACCCTCAATGTACTAGATACGTTACAAGGCATCGGATTACGAACAAAGTTTAGTAAGTTGTTTACATTAATAAGAAAGAAAATGTGGCCAGAAGCAGATATATTGACAAACGTTAATTCGTATGTTAGTTCGCTCATCCCTATCACTCTATTTGAAGTCTTGTCTTCTTTCCATGAATTATTTGATCATCCTTTATATGTTAGTTAATACGTACTATATTGTGCATGTTCCTCGTGCATGAAGAAGTTTGAATCGATTTCCATTGAGTATAAACCCCTTCTTTTCAACCCTCATGTACAAGAAAGCTAGCAACCGAGAATAATCAGAATGTGACGTGAGGAAAAATCCAAAAGATATATTCAAACTCAAAATAATAGATTAGTTCTTTTCTTTTTATACTATCACACGCGGTTTTAATTTTTTGCAGCATAAATTATCTATAAATACCGATACAATGTGTATCCTCTCTACACAACTCAACTCACTCAAGCAGAAAGAAAAGAAAAAAAAAAAGCACCAAACACAAAATTATAATCACAATGAAGAAACCTTCGATGGTCTCATTTCTCATCACTCTCCTGTTGGCTGCAGCTCTCTGCACCCACGGACAAGAACCGGTGAAAGACACCGCCGGAAATCCAGTTAAAGCCGGTGAACAATACTTCATCCAGCCGGTTAAGCCCGATGGTAACAACGGAGGTGGTCTTGTCCCAGCCGCCATTTCAGTATTTCGCTTTTGTCCACTTGGAATCACCCAATCACTCCTTCCAACTCAACCGGGCCTACGGTTAGCTTCGGATTTCTATCCTCGGTCACAGACACCATCGTTAACACATCCACCGATGTAACCATCGAGTTCAAGTCCGAGATCTGGCCGTTTTGCAAAGATTTTTCCAAGTTATGGGCAGTAGATGATGAATCCTCATCGGCTCTCGAGGAGCCACCGATCGTCATCGGTGGTAAACCGGAGCAACCAAATAGCCAGTTCAAGATCGAGAAAGCCGGAGAAACTTACAAGTTGACCAGCTTGACCGGAACCGTTGGAGTCGGCCCAGGGATTTGGGGAACACAACTAGTTCTCAGCAATGATGATGCTAAGACCATACTCGTTAAAATCGTAAAGGTTAACAATGATGCCAGTACGGCTACTACTTCTGCCTCTCGTGTTGAGAAGTTTGGTCTAAGGATGTTTCCGTTCTACTACTCCACAAGTCAAAATCATTTGTAATGATGTAGCGCCCAGGGGCGGACCCACATTGTAAGTTTTGGGGCACGTGCCCCATACTACTTTTTATAAATTTTTTATCGAAGAATATATTACACTTATGGAATTCAGGTCATTTGATTTGTCAAACTTTATTTTTTTCTTTCCACCTTAGTTCTACATCTTTTAAGTGCCTTTTTTTTTTTTTTTTTTTTCTTTCAAAACATTTGATTTTTTTTTATGTTTTATCACCTTTCCATAAGTGTTTTTAAGTGTTATATTTTATTTCTCTAATTTTTTCTTTGAAACTTTTTATTCCCACTTTAGTTCTACAGCTTTTAAGTGTCTCTTTTGTATTTATTTTTTTCTTTCTAAACACTTAATTTTGTATGTTTATCATATTTTCATAAATATTTTTTATTAGTTTTTAAGTGTTTTATTTTATTTGTCTAATTATTTTCTTTTCTAAGATTGTTATTCTTTTATATAAATTAATAGTTCCTTTTTTCATATTTTCTAATTTGATTAATTTTAATTTCGTTATAAGTAAGATCTAAAACTCTATAACTAATATAAAGTTTTCTATGATAGTATATATATATTTTAATTAATAAAATTATATTTAATTTATATATTATATTGTGTCTCATATAAAATATATTTCTGGATCCGTCCCTGTAGCGCCTGAGACTCGTCCATGGCCAAAGAATATTGGGTTGAGATAATACCCACACGCATGTCATGTACCTCGACTTTTCTTTACTTTCATCATAAATAAACTAAAATTATGTTTTCCAGCGTTTTATGAATCATGATGAGACACAACTTTACATCTATAACTATATTCGTGTGATTGATCATTTCAGATTCAAAATTATATATCGAATATTTGTCATTTTTCATCGTTTTAGGCAATCTAGGAAGCTAGCGAGAACACTGTTGATCAATTCAGTTTCAAAGTTGATTGCATCACATTTTGATGTTGTTTTTAAACAAACATCGCATTCTCTAATGCTCATCTTGTTTGTAACCAAATATATATAGGAGCAGAAAACGTTTTAAAAAATCACAAAAAATGGCCAAATTTCGAGGGGAACCGGTTCCGGTTAATGATCTCGACTTCAACCTTGAGCGCATCGTCGACCACTTAACCTTTAGATGCATCTTTAGGATCTGCAAGTGGTACAAACTTCTCAAAACCCCATCCATTGTTATATGTTGTTGCATTAATTAAGCCATCCCCCGGCCCCACTGTCAATTAAAAAAAGAAAAAGTAAAAGACATCAATCAAAAATTCTAATTAGGAAACAAAGACAATTGTTTATTGAATCACAAAACATAGCTCAACACATCGTTCACAACGAAACCCTTTAATGAATCTCTCAGATAAGCTAGAGGGACCAAATTAGGGCTTCTATAGGCAGATCCTTGTCCGTACCAGCCTTCGACTGTCAAAATCGGGAAGATCATCACAAGAAATCATTCATTAGTCATCAAAAATCTTTACAAAGCGAAGAACACATAATATATACCTATCGTTTGCTTACGGTTCACTTGGAGGTTGTTGGATGGGTGTTGGTTAAGAACTCGAATTTTGGGCTTTAACTAAAACACCCTCATAGGGTTCCCTTCTTGGGCCAATAAGCAAAAGAAAAACCCACAACGATTTGTTGGATAAAGCTTCAAAGACACCTTTAAGCCCAAGACATTTTTAACAAGGCGGTTAGGATAAAACTTCTATTATCATTAGGAATAGGAAAGAGTAGTTTCCTATATTCATTAGTAATAGAAATTGGAAATAACAAAATTGTGTTATCTCTATAAAGACCATTGTCGAGCTGTGGCAATCAGTATGAGGAAAAATGTTTAGTTTTGAGCTATTTTCTAAGCATAATAAAGAGAGTTATTCTTTGAGTTCCTTTATTTGTCATCAAAGTTTGAAATGTCGGACCTTGGGAAACTCACTTACTACCTTGGTATTGAAGTCGTTCAAAGCAAAGATGGGATCGAGATCAAACAAGAAGCTTACGCACGTCGGATTCTAAAGGAAGTTGGATTAGACACTTGCAACCCTACTCACGTACCAATGGAGTTCGGTTTGAAGCTATCTAAAGGACTAGAAGATGAACTCGAAGTTGATGCTACAATGTATCGTAGAAGAATTGGTTGCTTAAGATATCTCTTACACACGAGACCTGATCTTGCTTTCTCGGTTGAAGTACTGAGTAGGTACATGCAAGACCCAAGAGAATCACATGACAACGCCTTGAAAAAGGTCTTGAGGTACCTACAAGGAACGTTAGCTTATGGTCTAACATTCAAACGAGGTGGATCAAAGAAGATTATAAGATATAGCGACAGCAGTCATAACATTGATCTTGACGACAGAAGAAGCACAACCAGGCATGTATTTTATTTTGGTGATTCACTGATCGCTTGGTGTTTCCAAAAGCAAAATACAGTCGCCCTGTCTTCTTGTGAAGCTGAGTTCATGGCTGCTTTGGAAACTGCAAAACAAGCGATATGGCTTCAAGATCTACTAAGTGAAATCACAGGTTGGAAGTGTGAGAAGACTCTCATATGTATTGATAACAACTCCGCTATTGCTCTCACTAAGAATCCAGTATTCCATGGACGAAGCAAGCACCTCCATAAGCACTACCATTTCATCCGAGAATATGTAGAAGATGATCAGATTGAAGTGGAGCATGTATTTGGATAAGAACAGTGTGCAGATATTCTAACTAAAGCCCTAGCGAGAATCAAGATTGGAAAGATAAGAAGATTGATTGGAGTTCAAGACCTCTCGAAGACTGACTTAAAGCTTAAGGGGGTGAATATTGGATAAAGCTTCAAAGACACCTTCAAGCCCAAGACATCTCTAACAAGGCGGTTAGGATACGATAGGCTTAAAAGAAAACTTCTATTATCATTAGGAATAGGAAAGAGTAGTTTCCTATATTTATTAGTAATAGAAATTGGAAATAAAAAAGTTGTGTTATCTCTATAATGACCATTGTCGAGCTGTGGCAATCGGTATGAAGAAAAGTGTTTAGTTTTGAGCTAATTTCTAAGCATAATAAAGAGAGTTATTCTTTGAATTCCTTTACGATTTTCCTTCTTGGCCGAAACCACCATTTGTATATAGCTGATGTTCATATAAACTTACTCGTTATCAAATAATCTTCTAAGTTCTAATCGAAGCAAAGAGCTTTTTGTTTTGAAATAAAGTGGACTTACAATTCTCTATTTGCCATAGGCCCATAGTGAACCTATCTGAGTGGTAATATTCTTCGACCAGCTTGGAGTATACTGGAATCGCCCATGTGAAGGTCGGGTTGGAGAACTCTTTGGTGACAGTGAAGAGTTCTGATTTTTCAAAGCGAGAAGGAATGGTCACATCGACACCAAACTCGCAGTGATCTCCATCGTAAAGGTATCCATTTGTCGGGCTTCTTCACCTAGTAGGCTTCAACTGGGCCAGATTTTGTCCAAGAGAAATAGTTGGACTTCATTTATTACATGGATACCAAAAAATTCATTTTGGGACTTTTGCATACGCAAACAAACATCAACCGTTATACAGTAGAACCTCTATAAATTAATACTCGATAAATTAATAATCACTATAAATTAATAATTTTTGCCGGTTCCAAGTCAGACCAGTATAAAAATTAGCAAATTTCGATAAAATAATAAGATAATATATTTTTGAAACTCCTATGTAAAAATATAGTCCCAATAATTATATAAATTAATAATTATACATTTAAGCATATATAAATAATATAATATACTAAAATATAAGTATATTATTGTTTTAAGTTTATAAAACTTGTTTGATTTATTTTTTAAATTCACTGATATAATATTTTCTGAATAAATTTTACATTGTTGAAAATATTTTTTGTTTTTTTGACAAATATTTTAGATTTGAACCGAAATATCTATTTATAAATTAATAAAATATTAATTTCTCGATAAATTAGTAATTATTAATTTATCGATTAATTAATAATTCTATAAATTAATAAATTTTTGTAGTTCCAATATTATTAATTTATAAAGATTTTACTGTATATAGTTTGGCACTAATTTAAGTTAACGATTTTTCTTAGTTTTAATTGTTTGGTTTTCTGATATTCTTCGAACATTTCATTTTGGGTTTCTTGCTCACGTAAGCAATGACATCAACCTTGTTTGGTGGCAGTGTCCCCTCCACCCTCCTGATAAGATGGCAAAGAACATGATGAACTGGTATATCGAGTGATCAAATCCAGAAAATATAATCTATCGACAATGTATTAGGACACATCAAAATTGAAAAAAAAAGACCGGCACAAGTATGCAAAAGACAAAAGATACTCCACCCACATTGTTCTTTAGTTTTGAATCGAAAGTTCATTATTCATCATACTTGAATCCATATAAGTCTTGATCGTGTAACTCATTAAATTTAAATCCCGTTCTTTATTAAATGGCACAATACTTTGGATGGACAGTTTCTTGAAAAAAGAAAAACAAATTTGCTGGATAGGCACATTGTGGGCAGTGAATTTGTGTCAGGGTCATTGTATTTGTATCAATAGAGCAGACCTAACGAATAAAAGAGGCTTGCCTGACATTGATAAAATATCATAGTGTCACAGACCTAACCCACTTCCAAATAATTTTCAGACAACGCCGATAAGAAAACTATATACTATCTAAAAAGATAATCATCACAAAATATCTTATAATAGATGAAAACTAAAACGTCAATGGATAAAGTCTTACTTAAAAGTTTTTTTTTTAAATGATCTGAATGTAAATTATAGAAATAATTATAAAATAATATTTTAAGAGAAAAACTAACTATTTTATAAAGATTCACCATATATATATAGATTCACTATGAATAACTCCAACTGTCTGTTTTTTTTTTTTATCTGAATATTTTTATTAACCTGTAGAAATCGCATCTTCTGAAAATCAAAATTCAAATCTCCTAGTGTATAAACATTAATGAATTTTTAGTCGACCACTGGATTAAGAAGCTTTTACTACTTATAAATTTTATTTCAGATAAATTTTAAAATCACAGAATAACTACATAATTATTAGCAATTTGTAATAAAATTTACATAAAATTATTTAACAGAAACATTAAAACATAATTAAAAATATAACGAATAATTTAAATAGTACTCCCTTCATTTAAAAAAAACATTTTGACATTTTTTTCTTGTTACACAAATACTATCATTTGGGAATTTCAATACAATTTTTAACAAAACATTCTTTTTTAACCCCAGCTTAAAATGATCAAATTAAAAATAAAATCATAAAAATGTCAAGAGACACTTACACACAATAATGAAATCTTTCCAATCTCGATCAACTATATTAACGTTCAACTCTCCATTAAATTATTTGATTTTTTATAGAATTATAATTATATATACAAATGATCGTTCCTTTGTTAGTATAAAAGAAACAGAAAATTGTAATGATATAAACAATTTGGATGTATAAGAGAATTTTAACTTCTTTTCTTATTTTGTGTAAAAAGTCTAAAACAGAGAGATTATAAAACAACATAATCACGTTTTTGAAAACGTGACCAAGTGGTATACTATTTATAGCAACTACATAAACAAATCTTTTACATACAATTTTGCATATAAATACCCGATATATATTGTTAAGAGAAAGAAAAATATATCCGCTATAAAGCTACTATTTTCTCCCTACCACATGTAGTGTTTATATCAACAACAACATCAAAAGCTTGGAAAAAAGGAGAAGAGAGAAAAACAAAAAGATGGGAGAAGAAGCGAAAGCAAAAGTGTTAATCTTCTCATTTCCGATACAAGGACACATAAACCCTCTCCTCCAATTCTCAAAGCGTCTAATCTCCAAAAACGTCGCTGTAACATTCCTCACAACTTCCTCCACCCACAACACCATCCTCCGTCGTGCCATCGCGGGCGGAGCCACTGCTCTACCGCTCTCTTTCGTCCCCATTGACGACGGCTTCGAGGAAGGACATCCATCGACCGACTCTTCTCCCGAGTACTTCGCAAAGTTCGAAGAAAACGTCTCTCGAAGCCTCAATCAACTTATCTCCTCGATGGAACCCAAACCAAACGCCGTCGTCTACGACTCGTGTACGCCTTGGGTTTTCGACGTTTGCCGGAAACATCCCGGCGTAGCTGCGGCGTCGTTTTTCACTCAGTGTTCCACCGTGAACGCGATTTACGTTCATTTCTTGCGTGGAGGGTTTAAGGAGTTTCAAGACGACGTCGTTTTACCCGCCATGCCTCCGTTGAAGGGTATTGACTTGCCGGTGTTTCTGTACGACAATAGTCTTTGCCGGCCGTTGTTTGAGCTCATTTGTAGCCAGTTTGTGAATGTTGACCACATTGACTTCTTCTTGGTTAACTCTTTCGACGAACTCGAACTCGAGGTAAATCATTCGTCCCTTATTTTACTTAGAGTTTTGTTGCTTACCTTCATATTTATTAATTATCTGCATAATGAAACCCAAATGAAAATATGTTCTCGTGGTGGATAATGGATACTACTATGACACTGAATCAATTAGCACTTTATGTGAACCACTATAAAATTAAAAAGGCTGTAAAAGCTGGTATGACATGTGTTTCCTGCTAGTATTAAGCCAATCATGATAAAAAATTAACATTTTAATATGAAAACAATTTACATTTCAAACAATAGCAATATTTTTAGATTGTATATTTCAGTACTGTAGTTGTTGGAATAGTGTATAAAAAATGAATCCAAGGATAAATAAATAGCAAAAAGACAAAAAATGAACAGCATTATTTCAGACGACAAAAAGAACATCATTTATCTTTCGGTACCGATTTAATTGGGCGAAGTTCCCAAGGTGCAGATTATTTGTATCAATATCTTATGCTAACGGATGGGATTTCAACGTGGCAATTCATGTAGCCAGAAACGATTAATATATACGTCAATACGTGTCATGCCATATACCTTTTGATTATATTATTATACTTTTGTGATAGACATGCATGTGTGTTGTGTTCTTATACCATCTTGAGATTTTTCATAAAAATGCTTACTGTAAAGATATAAAGTAACATTTTTTTTTTTTTTTTTTTTGCGGTCAAGGATAAAAAAATAACATAAAAACTTAATTTACTAATAAAACACGTACGTACGTAGGTTTATTTGATCAAATTAGGTAAGGAATCAAAATCTAAAAAGACAGTACTGGCTTCTCACTAAGAACATCTCCAGTTGAGTAGTTTATATATTGAGATGCTCAAACTAGCTCTGGCTTCGTAATGTGGAATTGAGTAGTTTATACTGTATATGAGAGCATTAGACGTTTAAACTGACCTAAGGCTTAACAATCTTCGGAATGATTGGATTGGGTCAATGGCTATAAAATCTTTCTTTCGTTGCTCTGAAGTTTTGGATATCTGATGCATTATTTGCAAGTTACAGTAATTAGTTTTCTCCCACCGTGAAAACTCAAACCTTCTTTTTAGAAGATCTTTTAAACTCAGAGGCCGATTGTGCACGAGTTCAATTTTTTGTCGTCTGGTCACTCGTTTTATTTTCTAGTATTTTCATTGGTTTCTACATATGTTCAAGACTTTATTCTTAACAGGAAAAGATGAGATTAAGAGAACAGGATCATGTTTGTATCAAAAGTAGCAAATGTTTTAATCCAAGAACTTTTAGGTTAGGTCGGGCCGGTTTTTGTTGACACATTTACTCGAATCTTCTCAAAATGTCCTTTTGAGGGTATGAATTTCTGGTATGTATCAAATTCTAAAAGAAATAGGTTTCCTTGTTTTTAGAAAACAAAAAGGTAAATGTTAAAATAAGAAAACAAAAGGTTGATATATTGCTTTAAAGAGTGAAACATTTGTGTACGGCATTTGGCTTACCTAACCCAAGTCTTTGCCGTCATTAACATCAGCTAAATATTTGGCTTCATAACAAAAAGTAGTGCATTAGTAATTGACAAAATAAAGCCTCCAACAAAAGTATAAATTGGTGTTTTGTTTAGAACTATAAGCTTAGATTGGTCAAAAAAAAAATGCCAATTAAATATAGTATAATTTAAATGTTATGTTTTAGTGTGTGTGCGTTCGTTTACGTGCGATCATTAGTAATTGGCAAAATAAAGCCTCTAACAAAAGTATAAATTGATGTTTTGTTTAGAACTATAAGCTTAGATTGGTCAAAAAAAAAATCCAATTAAATATAGTATGTTTTAGTGTGTGCGTTCGTTTACGTGCGATCAAATGCATATCCTCATCCTTCATAAAATAGTTTTGTAAAGTGTAAATATTCTCTTTACGTTTACAACTTGCAATATTTTGGGGGGGATTCAAAACTAGATATTTGTGATTCTTTTGAAGAAAAATAGACTACACTATTATAATACATATACGATATATCTAAAATTAAACGCGAGTGAAACGTTAACCAATGGCGTGAGTCCTAGAATAGCGTAGTTAATTAGAAAAATATATCTCAAACCGAACGAAATTATATATGCAATGAGTAAGCAATAAAAGTTATGAAATATATGCACGCACGAAATGGATTTTGTTAATTCTGAAATTAATCTACGAAGTGTATATGCAATGAAGCTATACTAGTTGTCAAAAAAAAAAAAAAAACAAGCTATACTAACGTAATTCTTTTGTTGCGTGTATTTACTGAAATGCTATTACTTCCTCAGGTGCTAGAATGGATGAAGAACCAATGGCCAGTGAAGAACATAGGACCAATGATCCCATCAATGTACTTAGACAAACGATTAGCAGGGGACAAAGACTACGGAATCAGCCTCTTCAATCCCCAAGTCAATGAATGCCTTGATTGGCTCGACTCAAAACCTCCCGGTTCAGTGATCTACGTCTCCTTTGGAAGCTTAGCGGTTCTAAAAGATGATCAAATGATCGAAGTCGCGGCCGGTCTAAAAGAAACCGGACATAACTTCTTATGGGTGGTTAGAGAAACAGAGACAAAGAAGCTCCCAAGCAATTACATAGAGGAGATTGGTGAGAAAGGCTTGATAGTGAACTGGAGTCCTCAGTTACAAGTTCTTGCGCATAAATCGATCGGTTGTTTCATGACGCATTGCGGGTGGAACTCGACCTTAGAGGCACTGAGCTTAGGAGTGGCTTTGATTGGAATGCCGGCTTACAGCGATCAGCCGACTAATGCTAAGTTTATAGAAGATGTGTGGAAGGTTGGGGTTAGGGTTAAGGCAGATAAAAATGGGTTTGTGACAAAGGAAGAGATTGTGAGATGTGTTGGAGAAGTTATGGATGAGATGTCGGAGAAAGGAAAGAAGATTAGAAAGAATGCTGAGAGATTGATGGAGTTTGCAAGACAAGCTTTGTCTGAAGGAGGAAACTCTGATAAGAATATCGATGAGTTTGTTGCTAAAATTTCTACGTAAGCTGATCGTATCAATTTGTGATGCTTAATAATGTGTTTTGGGAGTTTTAGAGAACTGAGAATTTTATATTTATGCAATTTTGTATTTTTGAAAGTTGTTGTTTTGGAGTTGTTTGTGCCTTTTGTGAGAGTAATTGTTAAGTAGGATCCAGTGAAAATAGCCCAAATAAAAAAAAGAAAAACAATTTCCTGGGCCCAGCTATTGGTTCTGACTTCTGAGTTTTCTTTCTTCAGACGTTAGTCAAAGAAAGCTTAAAGGCTCACACGTGTAGATAGATCATTGGTTAGATATATATACGACGTGGATACGAATGCCTATAAAATAATAGAGAATATAGGAGAGAATTTTCTAAGAGTGAAACCCTAATTACGAGCGAGAACTGAGAAGCTAGAACAGGGTTTGGTTTCGTCTGCTTCCTATATATCTCAAAATTGTTCTAGGTTTCTTTGGTTTAACACTCGATCATGGATTCTTCCGATGATGACGTGATGGATTATTCCGATGGTGACGTGCTGGAAAACGAATCAGGGGAGGATCATTTGTACAGTGAAGAAGAAGGGGACGATCTCGATTATGGATTCGCCGAGGATACATCCAAACGATCTCAGGTCATAAGTCCTTACGTAGTTCTCAAAGAAGAAGAGATTCGCAAGCATCAAAGAGACGATATCGAACAAGTTTCTTCGGTTCTCTCGATAAGCCAAGTGGAAGCGATCGTTCTGCTTCTTCACTATCAATGGAGTGTTAGTAAAGTGCAAGATGAATGGTTTACGGACGAAGAAAGAGTCCGTAAAAGCGTTGGTCTATTGAAGGATCCTGTCGTTGATCTTAATGGTAAAGAAATGAATAGTATTGATTGTGGAATTTGCTTTGAGTCATATCTTCCAAAGGAAATCGCAACGGTTTCTTGTGGTCATCCTTATTGCAAAGCTTGTTGGACCGGTTACATGAGTTCGAAAATCGACGATGGTCCGGGATGTTTATTGGTCAATTGTCCCGAGCCTTCTTGTTCTGCTGTGGTTGGTCAAGATATGATCGACAAGGTTGTGTCTAAGGAAGAAGACAAGGAGAAGTATCATAGATATTTTCTTAGGTCTTACGTCGAAGCGAGTGGAAAAAAGATAAAATGGTGTCCATCACCGGGATGCGAATACGCTATTGATTTTGCAAGTGGAAGTGGAGGAGGTGAAAACTGTGATGTTTCTTGTTTGTGTTCTTATGATTTTTGCTGGAATTGCAGTGAAGATGCTCACCGTCCTGTGGACTGCGACACGGTGTCAAAATGGATACTGAAGAACAGTGATGAATCCGAGAACACGAATTGGATACTTGCGAATACAAAGCCTTGCCCTAAATGCAACCGTCAGATCGAGAAGAACCAGGGATGTAACCATATGCGTTGCTCAATCTGTAACTTTAGGTTTTGTTGGAATTGTCTCTGTGGACTTGAAGGTCACAAGCATTGCAACAATTTTAAAGGAAGTGATGAGACTGAAACTAAGAGAAAAAGGGCGAAAAGTGCGATCGATAGATACATGCATTATTATGAAAGATGGGCAAGCAACCAATCTTCGAGGCTAAAGGCTATGGCAGATTTGGAGAATTGGCGATCGGTGCAGCTTCAGAAGCTAAGTCTCAAACAAAGCGCACCAGAAACTCAGCTCCAATTTACCATAGAGGCATGGCTTCAGGTTAGTGGATACATCATGTATTGGTAACACTGCGTAATTGAAAAATATATATTATGTAGAATGGAATGTTGGAACCGAATAAAAGGGAGATTTTTGATTAAATTGTAAACTAGAGATTAATGGCGGCTTCACAAATATATTTTTCATAAATCTTGTGGAACCAATGAACGATACCATTCATAATATTAAGCAATACCATTCATAATACTGTTTTTCAATTCATCTAATAGATATTAATTTTTTAGCATTTTAAGTTTATTTAGTTTTCAGTTTATTCATCCTATTAATTCTACTAATTTATTATTCAGCTATTTCATTATGACTTATCCGTCAAATCCATAGTTTCAAAGTGTACTAACTGGTAAAAACTTGCAATCATGCATACTCTACCAATATGTGAGTTAGTAATGAGACTCTAAAGTTTGTTACAAATTAACATTTTCCTTTTAAATAAATCGTTGACTCATGTGATTAATTTTTCGATTACAGATCATCGAATGTAGGAGGGTGTTGAAATGGACATATGCATATGGTTACTACCTTCCTGAACAGGAACGAACCAAGCGACAATTTTTCGAGTATTTGCAAAGTGAGGCTGAAGCTGGCCTGGAGAGGCTTCATCATTGTGCAGAGATGGAGTCGAAACCGTTTGTCATCAAAGCTGAAGATCCACTTAATAAGTTCAATGATTTCCGCACGAAACTAATTGGTTTGACTAAAGTAACCAAAACCTACTTCGAAAATCTGGTTAAAGCTTTGGAAAATGGTCTTGCTGATGTGGCAGTTAATGAGAGCAAACCAAAAACAAACTCCAAACCTCCTACCAAAAGACAAAAGCTGGCATGAAGAATATCCAAGTGCTAACAGTTACTATTACAAGAATTCTAAAGATTGGAAACTTTTTGTTTTTTTTTTTTGTTTTTTGTTTTTATGTTTTTCCTGCGAAGGGCCGTAGAGTTTGAATCAGTTCTACCTTATTTCCTAATTATTCTTCAGCATAAAAGAAACGGCATTGTTATGACCTATTATTCCTTACTTATTAGTTTCATTCTATTATATAATCATTTACAAAACTATTAATTAGTGTTCTATTGTAATCATGTTTTAACAAGAAAGAAAGTCGGTTTTCTTCTTCGTTTTCTTGGTTTCATTTCTAGTTCAACGAGAATTCTAGATATTATTCTCTCTCCTTCTTCAACAAATTCAATTTGTGTGATGTAAACTGCACCTTTTGCAAGCTAAATTCTGTGTGATAAAATTAAATGAAAGAAAGAAAAAAAATTAATGATTTTGTTGCATTTTGTAAGAAATGTATATAGAAAGAAAATTGAAAACTTAGTATTACTTTCATTTTATAGAAAAATATAGAAAAATTCAACTAGAAAATAATTCTTCAACAGATTTTGGAGCTAATTTTGTCTTTGGCATAAATTCTTATAAAAACATCACAGAAGAAAAGAAGAAACACATCTTACTTTAAGTTTTTTGCACCCATAAATAATGATAAATATGTAAGATTTTTAGAAATCATTAATTTATTATTTTTATTTTCACTAACATGATTATTAGTTGAAAATATATTAGGAATATACAGAATAATTATGATATAAAATTTTGTGCCGTATGACAATCGGTTATCTCTTTCCAAAGCAATAACTTTCTGTTTGTATCCGTTTTGTTCTTAACTGTATTTCAACCAAAACTTGGATATACGATGACATTTTCGATCAGCTCAATTCAAAGAATACACAAAAAATATTTGTCAAAATTTTAAGAGATATAGGAAAATTCAAATCTATACTATTAAAAGAGAAGCATTACTTTTAAATATTAAAAAGCTATCATGGTATTTACTAAATGTGCCATTATATTCCTTAAATTTTCTAATCATTTTATTAAGAGTAATTTCATCATATTATGAAACTGTTAATAAATGCTTTAAATTAAATTAATTATATTAGTTTGTAAGCAGATAATATCAGTAAATTATATATGATACTAATTTAATTTAATTTTGAAATTATTTCAGAATTTTTCATAATATCATATGATATTTTAATATAATTATCATATATATAAACAATGAATAGCTAATATAATTAAATATATATTATATTATAGATTAAATATATATTATATTATAATCAATTTTTTACTATCTAAAGATAAACACTATTTTAAAATGTCCAAAACTACCATAGTATTTACTAAATGTGCCAATTTATAGTCAATGATGAATATGTAATAATTATTTTTTGGTTACATATATACCATGAATAAAATATCATGTAAATAAATTATTTTTCTGGGTTGATAATAATTTTTTATTAATAAATTTCTCAAAAAAATATAGTTCAAAATTTTTCATTTTTTTTTTATTTTTTCAAAATAGATATTTTATCAAAAACAAATTATGACATATCATTGATAAGTTTACAACAACAAAGAAAAATTATATAACAAAATTTGAAGTCTCGTTTTTTATATATGTATTTGGATTTATTTAACAAGATAATTTTCTTCAACATATATTTCACATCTAAATTTTCTTAAAAATATATAATATAATTGTTATGATCATATTAATTTCTATCACACTCTATACTAGTTGCAAAATTTTATGACATTTTTAGTTTAAAAAACAACTAAAATACTTGGTACAATGTTGATGAATCGTGTTTAAAAAAAACAAATTACAAAACTACATAATTTATGAATATAAATTAGCTTGAGATTTTTTTTTAACATATTGTTTCTGCTAATCCTTAAGAGAATTTACATAAATATTGATTGAGAACTAAAACAAAAATCACGGGTGCTCACATATATCTTAATAGAAGTACTCTTCATACAATATTCATAATCGCATATCTTAGTTGTATGTATTATCATATTTTATTGTATATAGATAATTTTTAACGGGTTTCGTGATTTCTTCTTCTCAAATGATTAACAATAAGACACTAGATTTTATAAAAGCTTTTTGAATAAAATCGTGAAAATTTACCGATTTCTGAAGCAAAGAATTGAAGCTAAAAATCGAGAAAGACTCCAATCACAAAATTTAGAATTTGAGAGTATCCAATTTGAGATAAAAAAGGATTATGTTTGCATGTGTTGCTATTGGATTAATAAAAAAAAATTTCACTTCTCGAATATGCTAAAATGTTAGACAAATTTATTTGGTCTAGACTTCAAAATAAAACATTGGTCCGGAATGTTTCTAATAAATTTATAATTAAATTTAAAATGAGTAATAATATTTTTTTTTTAAAAACCTGTTATGTACAAAATTCTGGCTAAAGATATTTTAAAGTTACTGTAAATTTGTAAGGAGAAAAAATAAAGTTATTGTTAATAATAAGTAATAAAATATGTCAAAAATATATATACGTTTTATTTTATGTTAGCCCAATATATTGAATTTGGACATAATAATAAATTAATTAAAATATCTGATCCAAATTTTTTTTTTTTCCACTGTGTCAATACATAATATAAAAGTCAAAAATATTTTTAAATCATCAAACCAACGCTAAGCAGCATGTCTAAAATATAGTTTTAATTTAAAAATTGGTAATGAACATAAGTTTTTTATTGAATTAAATTATAATGAATATTTTTTTAAAACGTGTAGATATGATTTTCAATTTTTGGAGATGAAAAACATGTGGAGAGTGGCTATTGGTTCCGACTGCTAAGTTTCCTTCGTCACACGTTGCGCCTCAAAGAAAGCTTCAAGGCGTGAGACGTGTAGATAGCTCATTGGTTAAATATTTATTCGACGTGGATACAAAAGCCTATAAAAGGAGATAGTTGGCCAGAAGAAAAAAGGAGAGAAAGTTCTTAGCATAAAACCCTTAGCCAAAAAAAAGGAAGCAGAGAAAGTTCTTAAGAGTGAAACCCTAATTACGAGCGAGAAGGAATAGGGTTTAGTTTCCTCTGCTTTCGATAAATCTCAAAATCGTTCTAGGGTTTATTTTTATCACTCAATCATGGATAATTATTCCGATGATGAGCTCGACATCGAATCAGGGGAGGATAATATGTACAGTGAAGAAGAAGGGACCGATCTCGATTATGGATTCGCCGAGGAGACATCGAAACGATCTCAGATGAGTCCTTACGTAGTTCTCAAGGAAGAAGAGATTCGCAAGCATCAAAGAGACGACATCGAACATGTTTCTACGGTTCTCTCTATAAGCCAAGTGGAAGCGATCGTTCTGCTTCTTCACTATCAATGGAGTGTCAGCAAAGTCCAAGATGAATGGTTTACGGACGAAGAGAGAGTCCGTAAAAGCGTTGGTCTATTGAAGGAGCCTGTGGCTGATCTTGATGGTAAAGAAGTGAATAATATTGAATGTGGAATTTGCTTTGAATCCTATCTTCAAAAGGAAATCGCAACGGTTTCTTGTGGTCATCCTTATTGCAAATCTTGTTGGACCGGTTACGTCGCTTCGAAAATCAACGATGGTCCGGGATGTTTGTTGGTTAAATGTCCCGAGCCTTCTTGTTCTGCTGTGGTTGGTCAAGATATGGTCCATAAGGTTATATCTAAGGAAGAAGATAGGGAGAAGTATCACAGTTATTTTTGTAGGTCTTATGTTGAAGCGAGTGGAAAAAAGATAAAGTGGTGTCCATCACCGGGATGCGAATACGCTATTGATTTTGGAAGTGGAAGTGAAGGAGGTGAAAACTATGATGTTTCTTGTTTGTGTTCTTATGAGTTTTGCTGGAATTGCAGCGAAGATGCTCACCGTCCTGTGGACTGCGACACGGTGTCAAAATGGATACTAAAGAACAGTGATGAATCGGAGAACACGAATTGGATACTTGCGAATACAAAGCCTTGTCCTAGTTGCAACCGCCAGATCGAGAAGAACCAGGGATGTAACCATATGAGTTGCTCGATTTGTAGAGCCCAGTTTTGTTGGCTTTGTCTTCGTGAATATAAGGATGGGCACTACTTTCACCAAAGTTGCCACCAGTATAAGGCTATGAATGTTGTGGCTGATGATGATAAGAGAATCATGGCGAAAAGGGCGATAGAGAGATACACGCATTATTATGAAAGATGGGCAAGCAATCAATCGTCGAGGCTAAAGGCTATGGAAGATTTGGAGAAATTGCAATCGGTGCAGCTTAAGGAGCTTAGTGACAAACAGCGTACACCAGAAACTCAGCTCCAATTCACTGTAGAGGCATGGCTTCAGGTTAGTAGATAATAAATATACAACAGTTGCATAACTAAGACCCTGCTTGGTATTATTGTGAAACCGTATAGATTAGTTTATTTTTTAATGTAGAATGGAATATTAAATCTTGTGGAATCGATGAATAGATAGGCGTTATTTCACCAAAGAGTGTGACTGGTCAAAGTTTGCAATCATTAATTCTACTATCTTGGGAGTCATTAGTAATGAGACTTATGTTACAACATTTTTCTCAAACACAGATAGTTGTTCTCATTTGATTGATTTTACAATTGCAGATAATCGAATGTAGGAGGGTGTTGAAATGGACATATTCATACGGTTACTACCTTCCCCAGCAAGAAACTGTTAAGAAATCTTTTTTCGAGTATTTACAAGGGGAGGCTGAAACTGGCTTGGAGAGGCTTCATCGTTGTGCAGAGATGGAGTTGAAACCGTTTGTCAACGAAGCTAAAGCTCCACCTGAATTCAATGACTTCCGCAAGAAAATAATTGGTTTGACTAAAGTAACCAAAACCTACTTCGAAAATCTGGTTAAAGCTTTGGAGAATGGTCTTGCTGATGTGGAGACCCACCTTTGTCACCAAGTAAAACCTTCTCTTTGTACTCCTATATAAAAGACCACTTATTTAT